AAACAATAACCCCTGTACTGAATCGAATCAGGACGGGGCGCTGGCGTGTACCGAATCCAAAACCCTGCTCATACCCTGTTTTCTAAAAGAAAAGAAGTAAAAACAGTAACCCTGTACTGAATCGAATCAGGGCGGTACGCTGATGTGTACCGAATCCCAAAGAACCCTACTCAATCCCTGTTCTCTAAAGGAAACCAGCAAAAACAATAACCCCTGTACTGAATCGAATCAGGACGGGGCGCTGGCGTGTACCGAATCCAAAACCCTGCTCATACCCTGTTTTCTAAAAGAAAAGAAGTCAAAACAGTAACCCTGTACTGAATCGAATCAGGCTGGAATGCTGGTCTGTACCGAATCCAAAACTCTGTAAACTTGCTTTAGCAATTTGGATTTTGTGAATTTCTCATGCTGAAAAGCGAAGAACTTCAATCCCGGTTGTGGAGGTTTAAGCATCACAAATTTATCATATACCTATCAGCGAGTGCGTGGCTACGTAGTCGTGGTGCACTTCCTTCCAATATCAAATGTAAAAATGTCTGGGTCTGGAAGAATGCAACTTGTCATGCTAAATCTGCAGCATGCAAAAATCTGTGTTGCATGATTACCAAAAGCCGTCGAGTTTTGACCAAGTCGGGAGGCAGTTTCTCATGCAGGATGGGCATGAGAAAGGTCGCGCAGAATCTGTCATGCTGGGTCCTGCATTCCAGACCTCATGGGTCATGGAAAAGCTGCATTACAAATCGCGCATTCTTCATCCAGACCCAGACATTTTTACATTTGATATCCAAATCCAATTGAGAAAGTACAAACACCGGTACACGCCGATGCTCATTATCCACAGAATATGCACAGAAAAAACTGTTTCACTGTAATAATTTTGCAGGATCTGCATCACAAGTTTGCTACACATGAGACGAAAAACCTGTCATGCGAGGTTTCCCAGGGAGAACACGCTTCAAATTCCAATGACTTGCAGGTGTAGCAAGACAAATACTTCTGTGTTCCATTTTCTGCATCACAAGTTCACAGTGAAACAGTTTTTTCTTGCGATACAGAAAAACACTGGTGTGGCGACTTCGGGTATGGATTGCAAAAATGTCTGGGTCTGAAAGATTGCAACTTGTCATGCTAAATCGGAATAACGCGAAAATCTGTGTTGCATGAGGGCCAAAAGCTGTCCACTTTCGACCAAGTTGGGAGGGAGTTTCTCATGCAGGATAGCCATAGCAGAGACCTCACAGCCTCTGTCATGCTAGGTCCCGCATTCCAGACCTCATGGGTCATGAAAAACCTGCATGACAAGTTTAACACTCTTCCAGACCCAGACATTTTTACATTTGATATCGGGTTTCCCTCTGCTCGCTTCGGTACTGGAAGATATACCTGATATTTGTGTGAGATGGAATCAACATCAAGTTTCTCATGCAGAAAGCGGATCTATGTAGTCTGTCACCGAGCATTGGAAATTCAGCACGACAAATGACCAAAAAATGCCTGATACCTGTGAGATCGAATCAAGCTTCTCATGCAGAAAACGGAGCTATGTTCAGGTAGTTGTCACCAAGCTGCATTGGAAATTCTGCATGACAAACCAACAAGCAAAAAAGTTTTGATACTGTGGCACCATGACGAAGGCTTCGATGTATTCGCTGTACGTCCACATTATTTCCGTAAACGTGTTTTTTCCCGCGAAGAGCCATGCGAAGATGAGGTAGGGAGCCTGAGGTTTTGGTTTTTGTCATGCGTGACGCGAAAGCAGCATCATGTTTGTCATGCACGCGGCCAAAGAAAAAGATTCTATACCAGCACAAACCATATGTTGAAAGTGTCCTTGTGGGTCTCGTAGCCCTGCTGCACGTATCCAGTGCAAATATTCCCGGATGTCTGGAAACTTGTGATGCTGAAGTGTGAATGATCGAAACGCTTCCGAATGCAGACAAGCATGACAACTTTCCAGAACGCTTTCTTATGCGCAGCCCGCATGAGAAACTGCGTTTTTGTATGACAAAAGAGGCTGCGACTTCTTTTGTTCATCATGCAATACAGATTTCACAGGCATGCGAGACCAGCATCACAAGTTCGAACTTTCCAGACCCAGACAAATTTGCACGGCATAGCCCGGACGACTGGTTAAACCTCCAAAAGAGGAATAGAATGATGAACTGGGAGAGTATGTAGGTGAGCTTGAACAGGATCAAGTATTCCATTTTTGCGGCCTCTTGGGGGAAGACGTAGTAGGTGTGAATGTTGTCCGGCAGGTCGAGGTACCTGGTTAGGATCGAAAAAATTCAATCGCTATTTTTCCGCATCACCGAAATACGACAATGACGCGTGAAGCAGGTTTTCGCATGAGAAACAGCCGCATCAGCATTTTTACCAACGTATAGATACTTCAAGTAATATCAAGTACCTCGTCACAAACACCACCGTGTAGAGAAATTGCGTTTTCCAGCTGACCCCGACGCATGACCTCCTGAACAGGATCGAGACCAACAGAAACAGTGTGCCTCCCAAGTGCAGCAAATCGCCCGCTCGTCGGAAGAGGTTCCAGGATCCAGACAAATCCAGCCATCCTCCCTTGTTTGCGACCAGGGAGTATCAAATGTAAAAATGTCTGGGACTGGAACCTTGTAATGCTAAAAATGAATGATAGACGCACTGCAATACGCAGCTACGCATGACAAATTTTTTGGCTGCCATGTCTTACGTATTCCGCATGGCAAACTGCGTTTTTGCATGACAGGTAAGAAGGCTTTTTGGTGCCTATGCAACACAGATTCCCGAGTCATGCCAGACAAGCATGACAAACTTGCATTCTTCCAGACCCAGACATTTTTACATTTCATAGGGAGAGGTGCCCCAGGTGGGACGCGCCGGAAGAACTCATGGTGGGCAAGTGCGGCTGTGTATCAAATGTAAAAATGTCTGGGTCTGGAAGAATGCAACTTGTCATGCTAAATCTGAAGTATGTAAAAATCTGTGTTGCATGATTACCAAAAGTCGTCCAGTTTTGACAAAGTCGGGAGGGAGTTTCTCATGCAGGATAGGCATGAGAGAGGTCGCGCAGAATCTGTCATGCTAGGTCCTGCATTCCAGACCTCATGGGTCATGGAAAATCTGCATGACAAGTCGCGCATTCTTCCAGACCCAGACATTTTTACACTTGATACTGTGCTTGATTCGCTTTCGTCCCACGTCGTCGTGAAAAGAAGCGGTGGTCAGCACCTCTTCCTTGGGATGAATCTTCAGTTGTGCCAGCTGCAGCAACTACCGGGGGCGGTTCTTACTACACTGTCACTTACTTGTCGTTTTTTAGTTTTGATGAAATTCAAAAAATCTTCTTCATCTGTGGGCGGCCGGTAAAAGTACTGGTGGTGACCCTACGTCCAATAACAACCACGAGGATTCTGCGCGCGGCCGGTAATACTTGAACTGGTGGTGACGCTACGTCCAATCTCCTGTGGGCGGCCGGCAATGCTGGTGCAGACGCTACGTCCAATAGCGAGGTGGATTCTGCCTATTTCAAAAGCTTCGCAGCGCCTGGCTGTCGGTGGGAAAGAAATCCGATTGGGGCTCGACACTCGTCTTGTAGTTCGCTTTTGTCGTCTACTAATACGAGTAGAGCGAGCGTCGCGGGGATGGTTGCGCGCTGTGACGAGGTGAAATTAGTGGCAGCTCTGCGCCTGACAGGGGATGGAAGGCGTCGCCGCTGGTCGAAGAGTTTTGGCAACGGAGTTCTTGGGATTGTTCCTCACCTACTTCTTACTTACTTTCCGATCTACGAAGCACGGAGAATGTCTTCTCGGTGCCTTGAGTTGTGGTTTTCTTGGAAATAATCCGAACTTCCTCCGGAAATAACTCCAAGCTCGGCGAGATCGGTTTCGAAATTCTGTCCTTTCCACGTTCGTGCGCGCGGGAGCGGAAACCGTGGTTTTTTTGTTTGAAAACGTGGAAGTCCTTGCAGCTCCGCTACAATTTGTAGCCACGACACCAGAAGCGGTTCAAAAAGCCCAGCGGCAGTTGTCACGCTTCATTTTGAACGCGCTACCGCAGCGTAAAATGTAAAAATGTCTGGGTCTGGAAGATTCTGACACTTGTCATGCACGTTTTGCATGAGCCCTGATGTCTGTGATGCATGCCCTAGCATCACAGACTTTTGGAGAGCTTCTTGATGCCTATTCCGCATGACAAATGCCCTCTCCGCGTAGCAAAAATTACATTCCTTTTGGTACTCATGCATTACAGATTTTTTTGGAATCCAAATGCAGCATCACAAGTTGCATTCTTCCAGACCCAGACATTTTTACATTTGATAAAGGTGCTGTATCACCATCGTAGAAACGACATTCAGGGTGTGATGTCCATGTTTCGTTTTCTGTATCTTATCATGTCGTAAGTTAGTACTGGAAAACTCTAATAACTAGAGCGAAACATCAATATGAGGAGCTGGGCTTCCTACGGAAATCGAAAACCCGTGGGAGTATGTGGTGTCCGCAATATCATGAATGTAGAGAAATTGAATCCTAAAAATGTAAAGATCCTCGTGCCATTGGCCTGAGTGTAGTTCCACAAGATGTCCACAGAATGCGTGAGGAGAATCCGGCTCCTGCTTCCCAACCGCAACCGCACGGAAATAAAAGCGACCTTGTGTTTGATCCGAAAAGTTGTAGCTACTTGCTTGTTGTTGAGCGCTTGGAACAGTAGTTGTCTAGTGGATCAACATCTTATGATGGTAGGTACTTACTGCCCCCAGGAGAGAGTCCGTGAAATGATCTTTGCACACATCATTTTCCACAAGTTGTTTCACGAAGATGAGAATGTTGACAGAAGAGCCTGGTTTTTGGATGAAGATGAACACGTTCCTCCTGTCGAAGAACGGCCATTAGAGAATACGTTTGAGTAGTTTTACTTTTAGCTCGCTCGTGCTCGGGGATGATTTTTTTTTGCGTCAAATTCTCGCAGTTCGTAATTCGCTCAGTATCAACTTGCAACGACCGCTAGTTCTTGCAAAAATTTGAGTTTTGTTAACTGTACATTTGAGGTCTCTCCGACCGGTTTTCGTCCACCTGTGTTCTATACACCTTATTTGCGCTGTTGTCCAGAGGTGACTCATGTGGTTCTGGTTCTCGCAAGTGAAGTTCTGCGTCCACGCACCAGATTCATCGCGATTGAGAGAATCGCTCAGCGCTTGTTAAACCCGATCCTCCTCCGCTCCCACCGCTCCCCCAGTCGGATCCGCCGAGCCGACCATTTCGTACTCAGATTTCATGCCGATGCCGCCCCGTCTCTGCCGCAGCTCCGTGCCGGTTTGTGAGCCGCTGGTGACAGACGCTATGTCCTTCTTGATGACTTTCTCTACCAGCACATTCACGCCGTTATCAAATGCAAAAGTGTCTGGGTCTGGAAACATGTAAACTTCTGATGCGTATTTGAGACCAGAAAAAAATCTGTCATGCATGGACCGCAAAAGTTGCTCACTTCTTCCCACCAAAAGAGGGAACTTGTCATGCGGATTCGGCATCGCCTAACCTGCTCGAAACCTGTGTTGCTAGGACTTGCATGCTAGACCACCCTCTGTGTCATGCACAAACAGCATCACACTTTTCCAGACCCAGACATTTTTGCAGTTGATAGCCGTCGTCCACCGTCAACACTGCGGACCGGAGAAAGGAAAAGTGGCCCAGCTGGTAACGTATGCATTGCAAAACTAATATCATACTAGTAGTAAACTTGCATTACAAGAACTTTCAAAACATGACAAGTGGAATTTGTCATGCGGATTTACCTTACGATTAACCATTTGTAATACATAAACGCAATTTCATGTACGAGTACGATGCTGTAAACTCATTGTGCAGGGGATACAACAGAGGAAATCCTATGCATTGCAAAAGTATCGTACTCGTATAAATGCATTACAAATTTCCTCAGCATGAGAAATGAAATCTGTAATGCGGATTTGCCTTCAGAAGAACATTTGTAATGCAAGACTTGCATTTATACGAATACGATACTTTTGCACAAGATAAATCCGCGAAGAAAACGATCTCGATCAACCCGCCAAGCCAGGATTGGGGGTCCCTGTTGCAGTAAGTACTTGGTGGGCAATTTGTGTTGCACAAGTGCGCATGAAAGTGGTTGTTTGTCATGCATCGGCACGAACGAATACATCAACAGAAAATAAACGCTTCTCCTTTATATAAGTACCTGTAATCCGGGTCCACGGCGAGCTTGTACATCCAGTTAAACGCGTAAAACACCCGATACAGGCCCAAGCAGATGATGTAGTACAGCACCAGCTGTTCCCGCGCGATCGTTGCGGCGCTTTCCCGGTAGCAGAAAATGTACTGGGGAACCATAGCGAAGCCTTCCAGGTACTCTGAGAAGGTCCATGCGATTTCCAGAAAAGACTTGTATTTCGTCAGCACGCAAGCGCCGATAAAGCAGGGAACCTGAAGTTGTAAAGTGCGATTTTTATCCTTTTCTTTGCTCATATCCATATCCTCGATTGACTGCTATATAGCAAATCAGGCATGACAAAACTCTTTTCTCATGCAGCCGCAGCAGCTGCACGGATCAACTTTAAAAATACCAGAATCGCCGTCATGCTCGCGGTGTCCTTTTCCGACTCGTACGCACGCAGCGGATCCATTTTGATGAATAGCAAGAAAGCCAGCAAGATAATGAACGAAGTCGCCAGAAAAGTGAGTTTGAAGACGACCAGATACATGGTCTGTGCCCGCTCGAGTAAGTCGAGATACCTTGTGCAGAAGATCGTGAAGTACAGAATCTGGGTTTTCAGCGACAGCCCCCGGCAGTTCTTTTTCCTCGCGAGGGAAAACAGCAAGAGCATGATGCCAACCAGGTGGAGGTAGTCGGCGATATAGCGGAAGGCGTTCCAGTTGTAGGACTTGAGACTTGGATCGGGAAGGGGAATGGTCGCGCCAGATCCGGCTGCCCCCGCCATGATTGTTCCCGTACTCCCGTCAGCGTCTTCGCCACTGTATTGCTGCGCCGCAGCATCCGCCGGTGCTACTGCGGGCCCGAGGGGGGCGGAGGACGGGGAGGACGGAGTGGGGCCCGAGTTGGACATTGTGGAACAAAGTTTTTTTAGTTCCTATTCAGTGCAGGTCTGACTAGAAATAAGAAAGCGCCGGCTGTCCGCGGATGCCAAAAGGCACCAATGGCGGCACGAAATCCACCGCTCAAGAGTATTTTTCTGGCGTACAATTTTCCGACTCACGGCCGACATTTGTCTGTGCAAGAAGTTGTACGAGGCCTTATTTCTCTGGAAGTTGACTCGCGCTTTCGTAATAGATAAAAGAAAGCGGTTTGTTCTCACTTCTCACACTGTGACTACTTAGTTCGCTTTTTAGTGCCAGCGCTCGCTGAAAAATTCTTTAAGTAACCTGCTTCTGAACACTTCTTCCGACAATGTTGCCAAAGGAACCGGAGTTCGTGTGACGTGGATCAGTGGGGGAAAGCAGTATCGCTTTGCAGCTGCAGAATGTTAAGCCACTCACACTTCTCAAGTGTCTTGCACGACCAACACAGTAGTGTATAGTTTCGTCTTTTTAGAAAATTGTCAACTGAAAGTCACCGCCGGTAAATCCCACGTTGCCAAGTTGCTCTATGACCCTCCCTCTTCTCGGCAGCGCCTCCTCCTTCCACTGTTCACGCTGCATCAGGGTCGTTTGAAAAGTTTCTGACTTGGAGAGAAAACTCTCGTCCAGCTGTCGTATCTGCCTGCACACGTCGGCGCAGTAGTTTGCGTCCTTGGCATTGATGCCATTTTCCAAGTCCGAGAAAAGGGCTAGGTACCTGATGTGTCGTGTCCATTTTGAATCAGATGATTTTTGTCATGCGAAAAATCAATGTAACATTTCTAGCTGTCATGCACCAACAGCAACCCAACATGATGTTCGATTCTTCCGAGTTGGCGCTTTGTTCCTCCGGTTCCGTTGCTGCTTTTTCCTCCCGGAGGTTCAGCATGAGATGAAATAAAATTTGTAATGCAGATTTACTTTCAGAAAAAAATTTGTAATGCATGATTGCAATACTGCTCGATCATTTTCCGTTGCTGCTTTTTCCTCCGGGTTCAGCATGAGATGAAATTAATATATTTATATAAGGCAAACTTTGGGGCCGGAGAGGGTCCGATAGAGGTTGGGGAGAGGTTTCGTAGAGGTTAGACAGAGGGTCGGAGAGGTAAAGTAGAGGGTCGACCAAAACAAGAGGGTCGGGGAGAGGTAAAGTGAGAGGGTACGGAGAGGGTCGGGAGAGGGTGCGCAGTATAGGGGACCGTATAGCGGCGCTATACGCCCGAAGAGGGTGCGTAGAGGTTGAGTAGAGGTCAATTAGAGGGTAGGGGGAGAGGGTCGAGAGGGTCAGAGAGGTTCCACAGTATAGGGCGACCCTCTAAGCGACCCTCTATGTCGACCCTCTCCGGGAACCTCTTTTTTACCTCTCGGCGGACCCTCTCGGGACCTCTTGGACCCTCTCCCGGACCCTCTTCGCGACCCTCTCCGAACTTTTCCCGGACCCTCTCCGAACCTCTCCCGGACCCTCTCCGGGACCCTCTCCCGGACCCTCTACCAGAACCGCCCGCACAGTGAAGCTCGCCCGTCTGCGCGCAGTGCCTGTGTCCTAGAGTAAGAATAAACAAAGCTAGGGCCTAAAAGTTCAGGCCTCCCCTGCAAGTTTTTCTTTTTTGACTCCAGGGCAGACCAGGGCGGCTGTTCAAAGTGCATGCGCCGCTCTGCGTCCCCCGGGGGGGGCGCGGCGCCACGCCTTAACGTAGGCGGCCACCTAGGGTGGCCGCAACTTCACACAGTGCCCGCGCGCGGGCAGCAGGTGTTGCGTCTTTGTAGCGGCGCGAAAGTGGTTGCGACTAAAGTAGCGACAGCTTTTCTCTGCCCGTTGTCTCTCGGCGCAAGCATAGCGCATTAGCCTTCGCAAGCACATGCAGGCCCCGCCGCGTGCTCGCTGCCTAACAGGATTCCAGCTCGCCACTTTGTAGAAGCGGCACTCCCCCTGTTCAGGGTGCACCCCTGCAACCAACTCCCCTTCCAAGAAAGGCCAACAACCCCCGGCCCCGGGCGCTGCTTTTTTCGCCAACAAAGAACGCAGGCCGCGGAGGTATCGCTGCCTGCGTGTGTGCGCTGCGCTTTCTGGGCCAACCCCGTCAGACCCCGCCTGCGCTTTGTGTGCCCGCGGCCCCGCCTGCTTTTTTTGGTTGTGCAGCGGCGCGCCACCCTTGGCATCGCCTTCCCCGTTGGAACACCTCCCCCGAACAGCCTCCCTCCCCGGCGGCCTCCGCCGGGGGGTGGCTGGTAAAATTTGTAATGCAGATTTACCTTAAGAAAAAAATTTGTAATGCATGATTGCAATACTGCTCGATCATTTTCCGTTGCTGCTTTTTCCTTCTGATAGCGTCCGCCGCCCCCTCCCGGAGGTTCAGCATGAGATGAAATAAAATTTGTAATGCAGATTTACCTTAAGAAAAAAATTTGTAATGCATGATTGCAATACTGCTCGATCATTTTCCGTTGCTGCTTTTTCCTTCTGATAGCGTCCGCCGCCCCCTCCCGGAGGTTCAGCATGAGATGAAATAAAATTTGTAATGCAGATTTACCTTAAGAAAAAAAATTGTAATGCATGATTGCAATACTGCTCGATCATTTTCCGTTGCTGCTTTTTCCTTCTGATAGCGTCCGCCGCCCCCTCCCGGAGGTTCAGCATGAGATGAAATAAAATTTGTAATGCAGATTTACCTTAAGAAAAAAATTTGTAATGCATGATTGCAATACTGCTCGATCATTTTCCGTTGCTGCTTTTTCCTTCTGATCGCGTCCGCAGCCCCCTCCGGGTCCCAGCACGCGCCGCAGTCTTGGGAAAGCCGCTGGCCCATAGTACTTGGTGGGGTCAACTGGAACTGCCACTACACTCGACTAGATGTTGTAAGCACCCCCACGAGCAGGAATGGACCGCGGCAGGAAATCCTCGTGCCCTCTGGAATAAATCTTTATCTTAGCGTGTTCTTGCAACCCCTGGTTCACTCTCGGCGTCGGCGTAATAAAGCGAACGATCGCATTAAAAGGAAACTGACGAGGAGCGCAGGGGTCTCGGCTTCCATCATGCGGCGCTCCCCCTCTTCGTTTTCGAGCAAGCAAACAAAACCGCAGCCGCGCTTAAAAACCGGGTTCTTCCAAGTCAGTATCGGGCCATTCTTGAGTAATTACTTCCTCGACGACCGAAAAACCACCTCACTCTACGAGAAGGACGGCGCTGCAGTTCAAGGCCACACACTGTTGTCACATCTTCTTGAATGATGCAGGCGGACGACACAGCACAAGCGCTTTGGATTCATAGACGGTTTTCGTCTGGTCCTCTCAACATGCTTTGGTCAGAGCATTCGTGGCCGAGGTGCTTTCAAGATGTTGGCGGTGCAATTTGAATTATTTCTCAAAATTTTTGTCGACTGCGACCACTGGGCGAAAGCACAAACGCAAGCACTTCCCGAGATGAAATTGTCGCGAGATGAGAACAATCAAGTTTCTAATCCAAAAAGGCAACTTTGTCCGCCGGCCACCAGGAGCGTCGTCCGTAGCAGTGCCTGTAGTCGTCCTACTTGACAATGACTATTAGAGGCACTTCTACAGGTGGCACATAACTTTTCTTTGCAATTCACATCGAGTATGCATTTCGTGACGGTGGAACTGGAAAAGAATATAATTCCTTCGATATAAATCATGAATGTTGTATTGATCGATTGTCCTTGTCGAACGGAAGTATTCACTCAGGAAAAAAAATCAGTCCCGGCGCTCGTCATATATTTCACGAATAAATCTGTAATATGTTAGAAGTGGAATTGCGACGCCGGCGCCACCGGATATAAGATTTTTAGCAGTTGCAGTAGTACCTATCAAGGTTTAGTTCGAAGCTCAAATCTATGTCCAGGTCCGTCGCAATCCTGTACAAAACAGCGTTGGTGTTTTCCAAAAACGGATCCAGTTCGTTTTCACCCGTTCCGCTTCGATCATTGTCATTCCTTTGCTCCATGGTGCAGCTGATGTCCTCGGCCGGGCTGGAGCTGCTTTGGCTGTCCGTCGCTGCAGAATTACTGTAGTTGTTGGCCTCCGGCAGGGCTGTTTGGCCTGCATCTCGACGACGTTCAGAAGAATCTGGCGCGGGGGCCCCAGCAACCGGCGCAGTTTCCACTTTAGAAGTGCAGGCGTTCTTTTTACGCCTGCTGCGCTTCGTCTTATTTTGCTGCGTTTTCTTTCCCGCGGACGAAATCTTCCCGAAAACAAGAACGCCGGCGTCGTCGTCCCGAATAAATGGAAATGCCGCCTCCCAGGCCTCCCATACGCGCTCGTACAGCACCTGTACCCCCAGCGCCATCGTCAGAAACCTCCAAATCGTTGGCGGCTCGCCGTAGTCCCAGGCGTCCACTTTTTCGTCCCGGGGCCCGCGGCTCGGATAAAAGTCGGGCTTTCTTCGGAGCTTCTTCTTCGTCCGTTCATTAGCTGACGATGATACAACCGTGTCTTGTTCACCAGCGCTCTGCTCCTTGTGGGTGGTGGTGCTAGTAGTGCTGTCGTCCTGTTGGTCGTTAGTGACTTCTTCCACTTGTTTCTTATCCACCCTGCTAGCGTCGCTACAGTCGCTGCTGTTTATTTTCTTTGTACGAACATCATCGTCACCTCCCTCGCCGTCATCTCCATGATCATCCACACAAGAAGTTGACTCCTCTTCTTCCTCATCCGCACTGGAGTAAGACTCCGCCGCGTAGGGATCCGGCACCCCGTGCATCCTTTATCCTGAGTAAAAACGTACCCACGCCAGAGTTGTAATGCAGATTTGCAAAGACAGGAAGACTTGTAATGCACATCCCCATGAGAGCCATTTCCAATCGTGTTTTGGAATTTGTGATGCTGTGAACAGGATGAGCAGATGAATCTGTGACGCGGCTGCACTTGCTAACCTGCACTACACTGCGGAGGGCAACTTGTCATGCGTGACTCACAAAACTCCTTGGTTTGTATTGCAAAATCCCCATACTGACTCTGGTGTGGGTACGTTTTTACTCAGGATATCCTTTCTAGCTGGTTCATGGCTTCCGGTCCGAATAGAACCTGCTCCGTGAGTATCAAATGCAAAAGTGTCTGGGTCTGGAAGAGGAATGCAGATTTGTCATGCATATTTTCCATGCCCCATGAGGCCTGGAATGCAGGACCTAGCACGACAGATCCTGCGAAGTCTCCACCATGCCTATCCTGCATGAGAAACTCCTGCTCATGTTGGTCAAAAAAGAGCAACTTTTGGTGATCACGCAACACAGATCTTTGGGTGACCCACAGGACGCATCACAAGTTCCATCCTCCCAGACCCAGACATTTTTGCATTTGATAGTGAGAAACGCAGTGAAGTAGTCCACGGTAAAAACGGTTTTCACGTAGTCGGAATATGCATTGCAAATAGGTCTGGGTCTGGAAAGGTTGAACCTGTATTGCATGTTTCGCATTCGCAGAAAATCTGTATTGCGTAAACAGCAAATAAAGCGCCACAGTTTCGTCATGCAAAAGCGCAGTTAGTAATGCGTTCTGCGCATGAAAAAGCGTATGAAGCATTCGTCATGCTATACTGCACTTACAGGCACAGTCAATCATGACCATTCAGCATCACAAGTTAGTAGTTTCCAGACCCAGACATATTTGCATTCGATATGGATGCCAAAAAAGCAAAAAAGCCCTCCTGCTCCGCCTTCGACGTGACCGCGGTGTCAGCACTCGGAAAGGAAATTGCTTTTCTTGCACGCGGTCGCACAACCCCTCCTCCCCCCGAGTTTGACGCAGTAGTTTGTTTAATATTGAAGGAATCCTTCGACGTTGATGTTCCCTTCGGCTCTAGTACAGCCTCGTCTTCCTGGCCGCGTAATTGTTCCACTTCATCTTCTTGCGGCTTCGAAGAAGGACGACTTGTCTCGGGGGGACCTCGTCCGGGACCACCACCCTCGTGCGTCCGCAGAATGCACTGCGAAGCGATCCGGAGGAGCAGCGTGAGGGTTTCGTGCTTCGGAGAAAACAAAGTCTGGTCCTGGACGACATCTCTGTAGTTCAGGTCGTAATCCCGGAGGCCTTGTAGCAGAAACTTCTCGACGAACTTCTGTCCTGCGGAAAAATTCTATGTACCCACGACCCCAAAATCAAGATGGGGCGAGCACTAAGTAGAAGACAAGTGATTCGGAACTACTTTTAATTATTGCGAGCCACGCACGTGAGAAGTAGAAGATTCGTGGATACACGACAGTACAGTAAGTAGGTAAAAATCGCGCCTAGCTGATCAATCCAGACGCGTCTCCTGAAATTTAGTTTCGTATACTCGTCACGGATGTCCAAACATAGTTAGGGTTATAGAAACTGCATCCCACACGGTGCCTCCTTGTATATGAGAGATCTTCAGGCTCCCCTTGGCCTGTCCATTCCCATTGGCATGCAGATTTGCATGACAAAAATTCTGGGATCGAAGGAGCGTTTGGACTGAGGATAACTCCGCCCCGCTGACGCTCCATGTTTCGCCCGACAATCTGCGACGGTTGGCCTCCTCTCTCGTCACGACGTCCCACATCTCCAGGCCACTTTGCCCCAGCGCGCAGACGAGCGGCGCCAGCCCACCGCGGACGTCGCGCGCGAGCAGCGGAGCGTCGGTTTTTCTTGGCTGGAAGTTCAGGGCCGGGTAGCAGTTGAACGCAACCGGGCCGGGCCCGTACATTAATTTTTTCGTCATCGGGTCTTTTGCGCACGAAACCTGGTCCAGCTTCTGGCGCACAAAGGCGTGCCACGTAATTCCGTCCACGGTCGAGTTTTCCAGTCCGGCTTGCATCCACCCAAGCAAAAAGCGCACGAGCCGGCGGGCGAGCGGACGATTGGGAGATTGTTCATCTTCTGTGGAGAGGACGACGGTGTTCGTCGTTCTTTTTACAGCTTCTGCATGATCTTGTTCTCTGCTGGTTTTCATGCTCGTCGTCCCGGCTGTTTTTAAAGACTGCACTTCTCCACGACCCGTGGTCTCTGTAGTGGTCTGAGATGAAGTTGTTGGCGAGGTGGTCGAGGTCGTGGTCCCCCCAGCTAGTACATCAACAGCACGACCTGCTGCTGGTAGCAACATCTTCGACGCAGAAGTTGCGGCTGCCGAGGCCGGATCAACAGCGCTTGTTCTGTCGTGGTCGTCGGTTGCGCCGTCGTGCTCGTCCACATCAACCGGCACGTCGCGGCCTTTATTTCCTGTTTCGACGTCCTCGCCAGCATGATGGTACTTTTCCGGTCGGCCGGAGGCCGCGGTCCTCGTCATCGAAGATGACAGGGTTCCTTCGAGCTGCTCGATCAGGTACAATACCTGTACCGGTAGGAAAAAGGTGTGCAGCACGTAGTGCGGCGCTGCCTCCGGGATCTGCATCGACCTCTCGAACAGGACGTGTTTTCCGCTTTGTCGCCCAAACTCGTACTGGTAGCCCTGTGCCATGTAGAAAAAGGTCTCCGTAAACACTTTTCGTACCTCATCGACTGGGATTTTTTCCAGCGGCCAGGAGCGCGTACTATGGGTAGTAATTTTCTTGATGTCGTTCTTGGCAATGTCGTTCTTGTTCCCGGCAGCCGCAGCGGCCGTCGAGGAGTGGCGTGCTGTTGCACTAGAGGTTCTTGTACTACTACCCGCCCACAAAAAATTCTTGCTCCCCGCACCAAAACTTCTGTTGGTGCTTGCCAAAAAACGAAAAATCTCCGGGGCTTTGTTCTGCAGCAGCAGTTGTCGCCCACATTTCGTTCCGATCAGCTCGTAAAGAAAAGTCATGAGGCCGGCGGCGAGCTGGTAATAGGCAGACCACTCGAAATGGTTCGAACACGCCCAAAAGTCACACCCCAGTACCCAGGCGGGGTGTAATCTAGCCAGGTTGAACTTCCGCAGCAGCGCCAGGTGATTCGCGAGGAGGCGCGCCGGCACACTCGGGCGCAGGCGGTTCAACATCACGAGCGACAAGAGCATATGCTCTGCAAAAGTATCGTACTCGTAGTAATTGCTGTTATGCATGACAAATCTCTTTCCTACGGTAAAACAGCATTACAAATCTTATTTGTAATGCTGAGCGAATTTGTAATACAATTTATACTAGTACGATGCTTTTGCATTTCATAGACCACCTCGGCGCCAAGGCCGCACGTGGAGCCCCAGCCGTGAAGGAGGGTCATGTCGTCAATCTTTTCGTTCGCTTGGACGTCGTGAAAGCTGCCGACGAATTCGCGCAGCCAGCGCAGCTATGCAGTGCAAATATGTCTGGGTCTGGAAGGGTGAAACTTGTAATGCTGTCTGCGGAATCTAAAAATATCTGTGTTGCATGAGCAGCAAGAGGAGTTCAGTTCTTGGCACGCGGAGAGACCATTTCTCATGCGTGATAAGCATCAAGAAGCCCTCAAAAAATCTCTGCTGGTGCTAGGATCTGCATCACAGACCTCACGGGTCATGCAAAATGTGCATGACAAACCCCGACTCTTCCAGACCCAGACATATTTGCAGTTGATAGCAGCATCTTGAGCTCGGTGTTGTAAGCCGCTTCCGCGCGGTTGGGCTTCAAGAGCTCTCGCTCCTGGGACACGCGCACGCCGGAGTTGCACCCGCAGCCGCACATGAGCCCCAGACCCATGCCGCGACTGTTGATCTCGTCGGTGATCCTCTTCCAGAAGGCTTTGCGGGCCTTTGGACATTCTTTCGCGTTTTTCGGTACGATCAGCTCGAACACTTCGAGCAGCAGCGTGACGGACTTGGTATGCATTGCAAACATGTCTTCGTCTTGAAGATTGCAAGTTTGTCATGCTTGTCTGGCATGACCCTTAAATCTCTGTTGCATGAGCAAGAAAAGGGCCTCTTGCCTGAAAACGCACTTGCGCTCACCATTGACAGATTTGCATCACAACTTGCCAGACCCAGAAAACATATATTTGCATTTGATACTTGGGCGCCTTTTGCAGTTCTCGCAGCCACTTCTTCTCGCAACGCTGTAGAATCCCCGAGGGAGCCGCGACTTCGAGGAAGAAATGGCTCGCGGGCGAGAGGAGTTGCCGGGCGAGCCCCAGCAGCTCGGGGCCGAAGATCTCGGTCAGCTCCGCAAACCGGCGGCGCCGCGGCTCGGCGCGGAGCTTTTGCTCGTCAAAGTACCCGACCAGCCAGATGAAAAAGTTGGTGACATTGCGCTATGCATTGCAAATATATCTGGGTCTGGAAGAATGCAAGCTTGTGATGCGCATTTCACAACACATAAGAATCTCTCATGCATAGGCAGCAAAAGCTGTCTACTTTCTGTCACCAAAGTCGGGCATTTGTGATGCAGATTCGGCATTGCGGAAGCTTCTCGAAGCCTGTGATGCTAGAGTTTCCATGCCAGACCTTCTTTGTCATGCAAAAGCAGCATGACTCTTCCAGACCCAGACATTTTTGCATTTGATATGCGCTGCGCCAGGACCATCTCGAGGCCCGCAAGTTTTTTCTCCCTCAGCTTGCACAGGGCGGCCGATAACCCGCACAGCACGCTCTTCAGGCACTCGCTGTGTCGAAGTTCCACCACACTGGTCTCCTTGTGGCGCCACCAGACAGTCTTCATTTTTTCCAGGTAATTCAGCAACTTCTGGTACACCGCCAACGCCTTCTCACTGCCGAAGGGGAAGGAGCTGGCGTGCTGCTCCAAAGCGGTTGTGTAGTACAGTTCTAGGTCAAAGATCGTCACAGTGGCCTCCGGCTGGAGGATCTTCATGCGGTCAACACCATCTCCACCCGATGAAGTAGACTGTTGTTGACAAGAACTACTACCCGAAGACTTCTGCTCCTGCAGCTGCTGTCCGCGATATTTTGCGAATCGCTTATCGCGTACCACATTTTCCAGCATGTCCGCAGCCTCTTTGGCCTTGCCATCCGAAATTAGTTCGTGAAACTCCGCCTCAATGTCCAGCAGTTCCTGCCGAACTCCTTCCTGCTTCGCTTTCGCCCTCGCTTCCCACACCTGCAAAAGGCGTTCGTACTCCTCCTTTTCCTCGGTCGCGAGGACGATGCTGGCAATCGTGTGCACGTTGAGCTTGATGCTCCGTTGTCGGGGCTTCGGCTTGAACAGAAGGCTCCTTCTTGTAGACGAAGCAGCAACTCTTGTTCCCTTCTGCAAAGCTACCTCGTCGGAAGATGTAATTCCGGTGGACCCGCCAGCTTTCGCTTTATCGCCAGGAAAAGAACTTCTGGAAGTTGTAGTGACTGGAACAAGGTCAGCATGCGCACTAGCAGAACCGCTGGAGGAAGAGGAGGTGTCCACCTCGTGTGGCGCAATATTAGATGCAGCAGAAGTTCTTGTACTAGTTGATTCATCCACCTCCACTTCTTCGCACAAGTCAACCTGGAGCTCCTCAGCATCGTCGTTTTTAATATCAACCTCCTCCACTAGTTGTACAGGATCATGAACAAAGCCGGTCTCCTGCTCTTCCCTCTCCCGCACCCGCTCGATGTTGCGCAGGATCAAGCGAAACACATCCGGCCGCACCTTGTGGTTGTGCACCGGCACGGGCTGCGTCGCGCGGTGCGGGTGCGTAAATTGGTGGTGACTCCCCCGGGTACGGGTGTGCGAGTACCCGAGCCGAGTCAGGATCTTCTCCACACTCGTGTAGGCCAGCATGATGGTCCTCGAGGACGTTGTGCATGCTGCGACGGGAAGTGCCGGGAGTTGCTGCAACCACTTCCACCACAAGCTACGACGTCTGATCAGGCTAAAATGTGCGATAGCACAGCGGCGATTGGGGCGCTTTATCGGAGCGGGTAAAATCGGAAAAAAGACAGAAAATTTTGACACGCTCGAAAAAAGCAGTATGCCGTAACAGTCGCTTTTTCGAGTTTGAATACTTACGCTCCATAGGCTCTCTTCACGGCCGTTTTGCACACGTCAGCACCAACGGCAACCTTCGTTCTCGGGATAATCGTACTTCTAATGTTGTCGTACTCGTCCTATAAGGTTGAACACATTCTTTTTCTTGCACGCAGACCGTGAATCACAAAACTTATGATGTTACATTTGTACTAAAGATCACAACTTGCCCTCACACCGCTTTTCACGTCGTTTGCCCTTGCTTTCGCTGTTCGTCGTGGAAAAATATTTCATTTTTGTAGTAAATCTAGCTCGAAAACAAATTCGCACTGTTCTGCGTGACCCCGTCGGTCTTTTAAATCTGTGAATCTGAAAAGAAACCCTAGCTCTTCTTGCGGTTTTTGAACTGTAAATTCGAAAACATTTTCCCCGATGGACTTTTCTTGACTTGTCGTTTACTTATTTGGCGAGATAGTATGACAGCGCCTCTGGAAACGCGACTGCTTTTCTTTTGCAATTCGAGCTCGTGGTCTTGGATAACCGTTCGTATTTACCTATACATAGAAAGCTCTCTTCTATCTCGGCTACTGGCTCTCCGTACTTATCGTTTATTGCCAGTCCGCCGTGAAAACTACTAATCTGCTTTGACTACAGTCTCCCGTCTCGCGCAGCTCATTGGCTCTGCGATCGCAGCAGCGACAAGGACTGCACTGTGGTGTTCTTATAAACTTCCGTCGAGATGAATAAAAAGTACCTTCTTCTGCTTATAGCAACTTTGCGCTTATTCAGTATTTTACTTGTTGAAATTGGAAATTATCGTGCCTGCTACTTTTTTGTGCAGGGCTTTTGCCTCTAACCATATGCTCGAATCAAACTACTACTCTTTGGAAGTCTTTTGCTGTAACTGTCGAATAAATTCTGATCTCGTGAAAATTATTGGCATTTTCAAAAGGTTAGCTCGAAAAAACAATTTGTAAATGTGGCTGTGCGGAAAGACCTCCATCCTCTCTCCGCACTTTATTTTGCATAATATCAGTACTGGTAAAAAGAGAGTGCGTGCTTGCTGGCGCACAGGATTTGTGCTGCCGACTCAACTGTATTAAACTAGGCCAACTAGAAGGACTTTGGATAGACATAGACCAAGCCAGTCCTTGAAAGAAAACAACTCGAGCAAGTCAACTTCTTGTGCTGCTGCTCTTTTGATCCTCTCTTTACTGGCTCTATTGCCATGATCTTTTAGTAAGTTGCGCCAGGCTCTATTCCCATTGCATCGAGGACATGATCTTTTATTTAGTAGTAAGTTGCGCCAGGCTCTATTGCCATTGCATCAACATGATCTTTTAGTAAGTTACGCCAGGCTTTTTGTTATGTTGCCATTGGTGTATCAATAAATGAAAACGGTAAAATTAAAAACTTCTAGGGAGTTCTCGTATATCAAGATGGAAAGAAACCCGTGACTGGGTACTTTGTTTTCCGAGTTGAAGTTGTTAAATAATATCATGCAACAGTAAGAAAACGTATAAAATCTGGTCAAGTTCTCTTGCTTGCTTGCGCGCTTCGGCGCGGAACAAACAACTAAGCCACTTGTAAGAGAGCGTAGAGGTGGTCAAGACTCCACCTTTGTTATTTAATAACCTTCTTGTAACGAAAACTACTCCAACGTCGCATAAAAATAAAATATCCTGATCTTCATCATTTTCATTCGTAGACCGGTGCCATTTGTGGTGCCCGTCCCGGCCTCGTGCCGACCGTGTATCGCGAGGAAAAATGCCCCCACCCCCAAAGTTGCAATAATTTGTGATGCAAAGTTTGCAAATGAAAACTTTTTGTCATGCATGAAAGGAGTATGATGAATCTTTCTGATGCAGAGTCCAGGCGTATATAGCAGTGCTTGCATGACAAGCGCCGCTCTTGCTGGGATCTTTTGCAATACAAATTTTTGCTATTCGCGACTGAAAACCTGTGATGCTGATAGATGCAAGACGAGGGCGAATGTTTCATTTGGAAGGGTTTGCAATACAAATGCTGCCAAGAGGTTCTGGCGTGGGGGGATTTTTCATTGTAATACCGTGTGCGGATGGTTCGCGGGCGGCCGCGTTCCCCCGCCGCGCTGGTGGTGGGTTAGCATCATTCCATTTGCCGCACCCGTTCCCATCGCTCCACCCCCTCTTGGCGGCAACCCGCCCGGATGTCCAGCACCGCCGGCGGGCCGACTAGTCAGCGGTCGCAGGTTCGCGGGTTTATTAGACGTAATTGTACTATTGCCAGTACTAGTTTGATGCTCCAGATGAACTCCGGCTGTAGTGGGGGTCCTCGTGCTCGCACCATTTGTACCCGTGTGGTGGTAGCTCGGCACCCCGACTTTACTCCGGCTCATGGCGGCAGTACTGGCCGTGACAGCTGGTGCACCAGCTCCACGACCTCCGGATAGAAGCTGATCGTGTGTGTTGTATCCCCTAGACGAGGAATTCGTCGTCGTGTGAGTGTGATTTCGCTGTTCTTCAGCGCCCCCCAAGAAGCGCTGCAAACTTTTCCCGCCGGAGCTCAGCCGCCTTCTCTTCTCGCGTAGTAGCTCGTCTTTCAAAGTCGCAGTACTCACCTCAGAGATGCTATCGCAAGAAAAAACTGTTTCATTGTAAGGGTTTTGCAAGGTTTGCAGCATCACAAGCTTGTTCTACACGTCAGAGAAAATTTTCCATGCAATGTTCCTAAGGCAAAACACACCTAAAAAATCCACTTTCTTGCATGTGTAGCAAGACAGACACTATGCAAGATACATTTTCTGCATGACAAGTTTACAGAGAAACAGTTTTTGCTTGCGATAGATGCACGAATTTTGCCGCGCGTCGTCCTCCTCGTCGTCACTGCTCAGCTGAAAGTTTTCTGCCTCGAAGAGATCTTGCAGCACGGCCTGCTCCTGAACGTCGCAGAAGCCGGCGAGCTATGCAATGCAAAAGTATCGCACTCGTATAAATGAAAATGCATTACAAATTTCCTCAGCATGAGAAATGAAATTTGTAATGCGGATTTACCTTTAACAAAAGGATTTGTAATGCATGATTGCAATACGAGTACGATACTTTTGCACAGGATACGAGCGACTGTCGGGTTTGGCTCTTTTTCGAGGACACCCGGCTCGTAGAACTGTATCAACTGCAAAAGTGTCTGGGTCTGGAAGATTGCATCTTGTCATGCTGTTTTTGGACTCTAAAAAAATTTGTATTGCATTACCAGCAAGAGGGGTACAAATTGTGCTACACGGACAGGGCATTTCTCATGCAGAAAGTGCATCAGGAAGCCCTCTAAAAATCTGCTATGCTAGGTTATGCATTACAGGCATCATGGGTCATGAGAAATATGCATGACAAATCTTGCATTCTTCCAGACCCAGACATTTCTACAGTTGATAAACTGTGCGTGGGACCCATAAAATGGTTGAAGCTAGTCTGCTGCCCGCGTCGGCCACCGGAAGGCTGGTTGATGCTGCGCATGCTGTAGTTGAAAACATTTGTGTAAATAAACCTCTTCGTCGCACTCGCACCTAGCCATGAAATAAAACAGGCACGAAGGTAGAAGACAAAGAAACAGCGAGAAGATGACCCAAAAAGTATAAAGAAAAACTACTGAACCACAGCAATTTCGAAAAATAATCGAGTACTTTGTAATCTGTTGCATCTGCGGTCTTCTGCCCCCGGAACTGCTACTGCTCGCCCCACTGTTCTGCCGATCGTAGCTGGCGCGCCCGGCGGCTCCGGTAAACGGTATAGGGGTGTCAGGATCGAAATCGACAAAGTCGCAAAATTTGTAATGCATGAAATGGAGAACGCGCATAGTCTGTATTAGGGAGCAGGCAAATGAGACCAATCGCAAGCCTGTTTAGGGGAAGGCGATGTGCTGCCCGTGTAGCATGACAGGAACAGTCTTCTTTGCCCAAAAGGCATGACAGACTAGATTTTGGTGCTCCCGAAACTTGTCATGCGCCACTTAGAAACTGAAGCACCAAGCGGTATCGAGTTTATGCATCACAAATTACTTATTTTGATTTTGTTGATTTCGATCCTGACGCCTCCATAAACGGGTTGGGTTTGGTACTGCCCCGCGCCGAGTTCGTCGTGGAAACCACACTGCTCGCCGTTGCCGTCCGACCGGACATCCGCGCACTAGTATGCAGTGCAAAAGCATCGAACTCGTATTAATTTGCATTCATGCATGACAGATATCGGTCCTTACCTTTTCCAGCATGACAAACTCCATTTTTTGCTCTTGGCAGAATTATTTGTGATGCAATTCAGCCTAGTACGATACTTTTGCAATGCATAACTAGCTCTAGGCGGCAGGTCCTGCGGCTGCTGGCTCGGAGTCGACGACGGCGGTGCCCGGAGATTTTCGCTCGGGTTGTAATTCCCCGAAGAACCTCCCGCTGTAGTTTATCAAATGCAAAAATGTCTGGGTCTGGAAGATTAGAACTTGTCATGCTAAATCCGAATGATGCACAAATCTGTGTTGCGTGAGTACCAAAAGCTGTCCGCTTTTGACCAAGTTGAGAGGGAGTTTCTCATGCAGGAAAGGCATCATAGAGACCTCAAAAAATCTGTCATGCTGGGTCTCGCATTCCAGACCTCCTGGGTCATGGAAAACCTGCATCACAAATCTTGCATTCTTCCAGACCCAGACACTTTTACATTTGATATTCGACCATCGAGGACCAAACCGGGTTCGAGTTGTCGGCCTTGGAGAAGCTCGCGCAAACGAAATCGTCGGCGGAGCCGCGGGCGACGTTGTACCATTTTATCCTCTGCCTGATGAACATCACGGAGGAGAACCAAATGTTTTCCCTATCCTGTGTAAAAACGTCCCCACCCCATAGTCAGGGTGGGAACTTAGCAACACAAATCTAGAAGCTTTGGGAGCCACGCATGACAAGTTGCAGTCCGTAGTGTAGTGCAGGGCCGTAAGGACAGCCGTGGCTCACATATCCATCTGCTGACTCTGTTTTCAGCATTGCAAATTCCAAAACACGACTAGAAAAAATGCCTCTCATGGGGACCCGCATCACAAATGTTTCTGTAGATGCAAATCTACATGACAACTATGGGGTGGAAACGTTTTTACTGAGGATTCTCACAGGCCGACATGCGAAGGTTAGACTTGGCGAAAACCGTCCGCGCGTTTGGGGTGTACGACCAGTGCTCGACGTTGGTGGAGTCGCTCGCGGAAATTGAGAAAGTCGTGGAAACGGGCGAGTACAAAAACCGGGAAACTGGGATTTCTGTGCAGGTGGACAAGTATCAAATGCAAAAGTGTGTGGGTCGGGAAGATTCTGAGACTTGTGACGCATGTCTTGCATGAGCCATGATGTCTGTGATGCACGCCCTAGCATCACAGATCTTTTGAGGGCACCTTGATGCTTATTCCGGATGACAAATGCCCTATCCTTGTATCACATTACCAACATTTGCCCGGGCGGAGCCGTCATCTTGCTGGGCACAACCAACATCTGTCCAAAACAGCCTAGGGCCAGGATGACACCGTGAGGACGACCACTGGGGGCCCGTCTCAATGAAATGAAAACGAAGCAAAAACTATACTTCTCCTTTTGCTACTCATGCAATACAGATTTTATGTAGAATCCAAAGGCAGCATCACAAGTTCCATCCTCCCAGACCCAGACATTTTTTACATTTGATAACAAGCGGCGGCTGACCATGATGCCCACGGAATACGACCAAAACGACCAGTTCCAAGACGTACAAAATGTTGCTGCTCTTTATTTGTCATGCGCGGCTTTCTACTGAGTCAACATTTCTCATGCGTCGTGGAAGCATAGTCTACTGATAAAAAAGATCTTCCCCACAAAAAGAAAAATTAGGTTATGGGCACTTTCGTCGAGAACGCGCGCGACCGGGCCAGCCAAATTGCGGTGTACGCCTGCAATGTGTTCCAGACCTACAAGGAGCTGGGTATCTTCTTCGACGATGTGGGAAGTTTGTGGCCGCCCCCGAGTGAGGCGAGCGGGAGCAAGGATCTGTTTCAGATCATGTTCGACTTTTCCAACCACTGCAGCAAGGCGTTCCGGGATTTGGAGGGCCCGGGGCTTCGCCCGCTCCGGGAAAAAATCGTGAGTCGGCTGGAGCTGAGCGCAAACGCCTTGGCCACCAGGAGGCGGAACAGCATAGGAAACAACAACGACGATCTGGACAGCAACAACCCGCTTGAGGATTCGTTTTTGTCCGACGGGCCAGATTTCGTGTTGGATCGACGGGTATCCTGTGCAAAAGTATCGTACTCGTAGTAATTGCAGTTATGCATATACAAATCTTTTTCCTAAGGTCAATCAGCATTACAAATTGCATTTCTCATGCTGAGGAAATTTGTAATGCAATTCATACTAGTACGGTGCTTTTGCAATGCATAACGGGCGAGCGTGAACTCGGAGATGAATGGTGGTGGAGCTGCTGCTGGGACTGCAGGAACATCAACGGCGGGTAACAATGGACAAATCGTCGTGTATGACTCGAGCAACCGGAGGGACAGCCAGCGAAGCTCCGTCATTTCCAATAACGGTGCGTCTGCTCAGCAACCGGGGGCATCTTCTTCAACTTCCGGTGCTGGGAAGCTGTTCCTCGAGAAATCGGCTTCGTCCCCGCCAACCGGAACTAGTGCCACTGGCGTAGCTGCGGCGGCGTCCACCATGGTTCCCCCAAAAAGCAAGTCGTCGATATAACCTGCTCAGCCGTTACAATCTCAGACGTTACAATAGAATCTGGAACTTGTGTTGCAAGAAGTGCATTATCTAGCCAACTCTCATAGGATTGCGCATGACAAGTTCTGGAGTCCCAATCCGCACTGCAGTCTGGCGAAATTTGTATTGCAGAAAGTGGAATGCTGTCCGAGTCTGTCATGCTCGTCATGCAATACAAAACCCAGACTCTATTGTAACGTTTGAGATTGTAACGTTTGAGCAGGTCATACTCGACCAATTCCATCCCCCCGGGCCGCAGCAGCACGGAGGAAGAGGTGGAAATAAACGGGGAGAAAGGAAATAAAGTCTATGCGACCGCTATCCTGTGCAAAAGTATCGTACTCGTACTAATTGCAAATATGCATGACAAGTCTAATCCTAATGTAAAACAGCATTACAAATGCCACTTTTCTTCTTGCCAAAATTTGTGATGCAATTTATACTAGTACAATGCTTTTGCAATGCATAACCGCCCTACACAAGTCGTCCCTCCGCTCGGTCTCCGTTCGGTCCCGCCAGGAATCGCGGCAACGCGCGAGGCAGGTGCGCCGGAGAAGCAGCAGTGAAAGTGCGGAAGAGCAGACCACTGCCAGAGCGAGCGACACGAATGTGGGAGGTGGCGGGGGAACGGGCCGACGGAATGTGGTATTTTTTTACTAGAATTTTTGATAAAAACTATAAGGTTGTCATGCAGCATCGCACATATGAAAAACCCTGTGTCATGCTTGAGCAGCTTAAGTACTTACTCAACATCTTCAACACGACCGAACAGCAGCAGGGCTCGCAGTACCCCAGCAGCTCGTCCTACCACCCACCGAGTCGGTCGTCGCAGGATTACCGCTACAAGGTTTCTCCGACGCTTTCGTCGAATGGCGAGGAGCCGGATCCTCAGAAAGACCGCGGCTCTAATCGGTCGGGGGCAGCAGCAGCAGGAGGAGCTGCCAATTCAGGTTGTACATCGTCGACAGCGAAGTCGACTACAAATAACGGTGGTAAGACAATCAAGCCTACCTCCCGCCTCCGCACCTCCTCGGCCGACGCGCACGAGCCGCCGTGGAAAAAGCGAAGCAGTGTCAATGAAGACCTATGCATCGCAAAAGGACCGTACTGGGTACGTACAAATTGCAGAATACAAGTTTTATAATTCTCAGCATGAGAAATGGAGATTCTCTTTCTCATTCTATTGCTAGTTTACCTTTGGTGGAAGCACATTTATCAAGCATACCTGCAATTAGTACAACCAGAGTACGATATTACTTTTGCAGTGCATAAGACCAGGACGAAAACAACTACAACAACTCGCACAGCGAGCGGGATAGCGAGCGGGAAAGCTGCAATACGGAGAATGAGGAGGTGGTCGAAAGGTTTTCACAGCGTCCTGGCAAGACGAGTAGCAGCAGCCGGACCACGACCCCGCGGACGAACAATTTTGTCACAATGACGCGCGGGGGCGGAATTATGACGAGCGGAAGTATTTCTAGTAGAGGCGGCGCCGCCTCTGGAAGCACAACAGAAGGAGGTGCTGCCACTTCATCCGGCGCGAGCACCAAAGCTGCTTCATCAGGGACGAGCAACAATGCGGCTTATGCCGGTGCTGCCTTAGTACCATCCACTTCCTCCTCCTCCAGCCGCCCGAATACCGCGCGGAATTCTCCCGTCGAAGAGATCGTCTCTGTCGCAACCAACCGCAGGAAAAATTCGAAGGGCAATTTAGCGCCGATGCGCCTGTCGAAGGAAGAGGAGTCGCTGAAGGGGCAACTCCTATCCTCCAGCGCGAGAACGAAGGCCATGCCCTCGGGCGTTTTCTCGGGGCCGCCGCAGAGGGCGGTGACACCGAGAACTTTTGTGGAAGAGGGTGGACAGCAGCAGCAGCAGCACCTGCAACCACCTGCTCGTGGTTCCGGGGAAATGACTAACCAGCAGCAGCATAATTCGCAATCTGATCATGCGATGATGAAAAAATCCAGTTCCAGTCGAGGCCCACTCGGCCCCCCGCCGGCGCGGTCGGTCTCACCGAGATTTGAGCAAAGCGGAACTATATCAAGTGCAAAAATGTCGGGGTCTGGAAGATTGCCAGGCTTGTCATGCATATTTTCCATGACCCATGATGTCTGTGATGCATGACGTAGCATCACAGATTTTTCAAGGGCCTTCTGATGCGTATTCCGCATAAGAAATAACGCCCACTCCGCGTAGCACAAACTGAACTCCTCTTGCTGGTCATGCAATACAGATTTTTTTTACCTTCCAAAGACAGCATCACAAGTTGCAACCTTCCAGACCCAGACATTTTTACATTTGATATCGAAACGTTGGACCCTTTGTTCAGCTGGTTCCCCTATGGATTGCAAATATGTCTGGGACTGGAAACTTGTAATGCTATAAAGTGAATGATAAACGCACTGCAATAAGCAGCTATGCATGACAAATTTTTTGGCTGCCATGTGGTCTTACGTATTCCGCATGGTAAACTGCGTTTTTGCATGACAGGTAAGAGGGCTTTTTCCTGCCTATGCAACACAGCTTCTGGAGTCATGCCAGACAAGCATGACAAACTTGCATTCTTCCAGACCCAGACATTTTTGCATTTGATATCCCCAGCCGTTTCGCGGTCTGGAAAAACAGCGCGCAGAACATGCGCTTTCGGTAGATGGTCAGGAGCCCGTTGTAGGCGATGTTTAGCCGTCGCATATGAGAGTGCACATCTCCCCCTCCCCCTCATTTGAAGGGCATATGAATGCAGCAACACAAGTGCTGGCATGAATGCAGCTTTTGCATGACAAATTCGCGACCGATATTATTTCTAGTGCTGTTTCGGCTTTTGAAACCTGTCTTGCAAGAAGTGCAAAAGAGAAAAGGGTGGATTTGGTGTTTTGCATGACAAATGAGGGGGAGGGGCAGTTGTGCATTATCATACTGCATGGCGTTGTCGTAAAATTGCTCGAAATTCGACGCAAACATCATGCACTCGATATGACCTGCTCAAACCTTACAATCTCAAACGTCAGTACAATAGAGTCTGTACTATTTGGGTTTTGTGTTGCATGATGAGCATGACAGACTCGCACAGCATTCCACTTTCTGCAATACACATTTCACCAGATTGTAGTGCGGTTTGGGACTCCAGAACTTGTCATGCGTTTACCCCTGTGGGAGTAGGGTAGATCATGCACCTCTTGCATCACAGATTTCCATATTCTATTGTAAGTAACGTTTGAGATTGTAACGTTTGAGCAGGTCTTACTCGAGCCGCTGTTCCAGCGCGGGCACCTTACAACACACCTCCCACACGAGCAGGTGGCAGAACGGGTGGTTATCAAACGCAAATATCCCTGGATGTCTGGAGACTTGTGATGCGAAGATATGGATGATGGAAACGGTTCCGAATGCAGCCGAGCATGACAACTTTCCAGAGCTGTTTCTGATAGGAACTCCGTATGAGAAACTGCGTTTTTGCATGACAAAAGAGGCTGCGACTTTTGTTGGTATATGCAATACAGATTTCCTAGCAATGGAAAGGTAGCATTACAAGTTCCGACTTTCCAGACCCAGACATATTTGCATTCCATAGTGGTCTAGCTGCAGCAACTCCTGGTCGATGCATTCCTGCTCGGAGCTGGCGGAACACCCCAAACTGTTCTGTATGACCCGCTCAGACGTTACAATCTCAACTGTTACAACAGAGTCTTTAAATCTGTAATGCAAGAACTGCATGATCTAGCCTACTCTAATACATAGGATTGCGCATCATTTGACAAGTTTCGGAGTCCCAAACCCACCTGAAATCTGGCAAAATTTGTATTGCGAAAAGCTCAATTCTCTCTGCGTTCCTCATGCTTTTCATGCAATACAAATTCCAGATTCTATTGTCACGTTTGAGATCATTGTAACGTTTGAGCAGGCCATATTCTGCTCCACGAATTTTCGCACCGGCTCGCCCAGCTCCACGTGGACGATGTATCGCAAGAAAAAAGTGTTACAGTTCCACATTGTGTTGCAGGAGCCGCAAGACAGACAACCTTTGTCATGCAGGAAAAGCTTGCGAGCCTCGTTTCCTACGTATTTTCTTTTTCCCTTATAATCTTTGCATTACAAGTTTTGTCTGCCACACGGAAAAAATTTGTGATGCAGAAACTCCAACAAATGTGTAACTGTAACGCTTTTTTCTTGTGATACAATGTGCACGTTGCGGACTATGACCAGCGAGTCCAGAGGGACCAAATCGTAGTCGCAGGAGAGGAAGGCGTTTTTGATCGCGCGGATGCTGTCTTTCCCCGACAAACCGGTCGTCATCTTCTGTCTTTGCAGAAGAATTTCCAGCATGCGGATCCGCTTCTCATCGAGCAGCTATTGAGAGGAAAAATTCTCCCTCCCCATATCGAAAAGGCATGTTTCCGAAAATTTGCCTTGCTGATTTGAGCCTTAGTTCCCCTTGATATCCGTAGGCCTCGTTGGGGGTCCCTCACCCCCAACACGCCGAACTTCCTCCTTCCACACGCAGCGTCGGAGGGGTCGCACGTAGCCCTGGAGGTGATAAACGAGGGTGGCGCCTGTATATGCAGTAAAATACTGCACAGGAAATGAGGAAGTCAGAAAGGAACACAAATGTTCTGGGATGACCGTTTAGGAACATCCCAACAACCTCCGCCAACCACTGCCCTCGAATACACAAGAGAAAGCCGAAGCTAACTCAACTCCGGATACCCTTCCCGAAGCTGACCTGAACCGCCTTTCTCCACAGGTCAGCGACGAGGCAATGCCCTGAGGGGACCGTTAGGAACCTCCCCAAACAATCGCCATGTCGACCTTGCTGATTTGAGACCACAAATCACGTCTGTCTTGCAAGAAGACAACTCCACAGGCTCTGCCGCATTATGCAGGCGGTTTGTGATGGTGTTGGACCTACAGCATAGTCGTTTCTCATGCTAAGCGCCTAGGCCAAAAGCTCTCTACTCAGGCTTGGCAGGAGCCTGCAGTCCTCTACTGCAAGATAGACAAAACTGATTTGTATACGCAAATCCAGCATCAGAAACTTCCTTTTGATATGGGGAGGGGGGATTTTTCCTTTCAATAGCAGCACGGTTTGCTTCTGGCCCCCGTTGAAGCCGTGGACACCACCTCCGTTGTTACTGCCGTTCGCGTGGTGTCCACCCTTGATATGTCCAGTGCCCGGAATTTTCTTGGGGCTCGCGAAATTAGTCGCGTGAATCTTCGTCATCGTGGTAAGATCCACTGTCGCGCGCTTCTTCTGAAAATACTCGGTGAGGATGTCATCCGGCAACGCTTTTGCAGAGGAGGAGGAGGAGTATCAAAAGGAAAAATCCCCCCTTCCCATATTGACAAGGCACGTTTTCGAAAATTTGTGCTCGCTGATTTGTGACCACAAATCGTCTTTGTGTTGCATGAAGGCAACTCCACATGCTCCGCCGCATTCTACAGGCGGTCTGTCGTGCTGTTTGACTTACAGAGTAGACGTCTATCATGCAAAGCGCCTAGGCCAAAACCAGTCTACTCAGGCTTGATATGGGCCTGCAGTCCTTGCCAGCAAGACAAATATGATTTGTGTAAACAAATCCAGCATCAGAAACTTCGTCTCGATATGGGGAGGGGGGATTTTTCCTTCTGATAAGGAGGAAGAATTGTTCCCTCCGCCTCTCGGGTCCGCAGATTCAGACCGCGGTTTCATTTTCGACACACAAGAACTCGGCGGGTTACAACTCGTGTCCTCATCATCATCGTCGTCCTCCTCGTCCTCGTCATTGGCAGCGGAGGACGAAGTCGGGACTATCCAAGAAAAAAGTTATGCGAGTGTAAATCTGTGATGCAGCAAATGGAAAACTATATACGATTGTCATGCTGGATGTGCGTCATAGGCCACTTTCACACGTGTTTTCACCTACTAGCTACGCAAGACAGGTTTTCCCTGTAATGCAAAACGAATCTGTGATGCTGCTCTTCGTACACAGTTACACTTACACAGTTTTTTTCCTGTGATACGGGCCGCCGCAGCACTACTAGCTCCGGGCACTTCCAGACTGTAGATGGTCCTTCTTCGCGGGTGCACCTCGCCGTTGACGCCGATGCCAGCACCGGCATTAGTACCGACATCGCAGTCGAGGAATTCGAGTTTCACGGGAACGCCGTCGCACTCCACGTCGAGCGTTTGATTGTACTTGAGAAACGACTCCAAAAACTTGTTTGGATCAGCAGCACCGCTGGTCGGTAGCTCCTTCGCGGGTCTCCAGTGGATGTTCACCAATCCATTCGTTTTCGTTTCCTGTGCTTTCCCCTTGCCCTTGCCCTTAATCGGCATCGCCTTCGGCACCACGGGGAGCGGCGCGCCGGTTCCTTTCATCGCCGGCGGCGGCGCGGGCACGCTCTGCGGCCCGCCTTTCCCGAGCGACGGTCCCTTCGTAGTAGACGGTGGTGCAGGAGCTGGTGCGCCTTTAGTTTGCGGCGGTGCTCCTGCACCGGCGGCTGATATTCCACCTTTCCCGAGGCCAGCAGCAGTTTGCGCGTCTGTCGTTCCCTCCTGTTCTTGGCCAGCAGGTGCTGCGGCACCGCTTAGATTTATTGTTCCCTGACTTGCCTGTGACTGCGAGAAGGTCTGCGCGATCAGCTGGTTACGCAGGTCCGTGGGAGAAGTCAAGGACGTTGACGATGTTGGTATCCAAGAAAAAACCTGTGTTAGTGTAGCAGCAGCTTTCTTTTCGCTGCCAGCATTACAAATTTGCTCTACATCACTGAGAAAACCTGCCATGCGTGGCTTGTAAGGGAACAAAACACACATAACGAAAAGGGAACTTCATGGTTGTCTGGCATGACAAGTGTATACAGTTTTGCATTTTCTGCATCACAGACTTACACTCACGTAGTTTTTTCCTTGCATAGTTGGCACAGTTGTTGTGTTGTTCCCACCGTTCGTTACGTCGTTCATCGTTTTTTCGAGATTTTCCTTTTCCTGCTGAACCAATTGCAGCTTTTCCATGGCTTGCTTTAAGGCCTGCTCCTTTTTCAGATTTTCCTTCTCGAGTTCCTCCTTTTCCTTTTTCCACTGCTCGATCTGTTCCGACAAGACCGAATTGTTCTGGCTGTCGTTCGTGTTGTCCATGCCACCTCCACCCCCAGAAGACATCAACAGCCCCGAAGTGCTTTCCACGCCTGCGGTTTGCGCGCGCTGCCGGCTAGGTTGGGAGGAACTGGACGCAGAACCGTTTCCTGGTAGTGCGCCATCGTCCACCGCCATATTACTCGTCCCGCGGAGGAGGTCCGCGGTGGAGGTCAACGTCGCGCGCTTTAGCTCCGTCAACTCGGACTCCATTTGCCGCATTTTCAGCTGCGTGGTAGTGTGTTGTTTCTTCCATTGGTCGCGAACCCGAACCGAGTCTTTCAGTTTGAATTTCAACCGGTTGATTTCCAGCTTCAGCTCGCGCGGGTCCACTGGCGTCGTTGCGGTCGCGCTGTCTTGACTGTTAGCACTTTCTTTGCTTAGTGTCTGCTTGCTAGAGGACGCCACTTGCTCTACTCCTTCAACATCTGCACTGGGCGAGTTAGTGGCTTTTGAAGACTTCGCGTTCGCGCGGCCTGTTTGGTCTAATGCTTCGTCGCTGTTGCTTTTTTCCCCTCGCTGTTCTCGCCCGGTGGAAACCGAAACACCCTCTTCTCCATCCTGCGGCAAAACCTCCACAGCGCTGTCGAAGATCGGGCTAGAAGACGCGGCTTTCTCGCCTCGTGCTGCCCCGCCGAGTAGTTTTATTTCCTGCGACACAGGTAGTAGTTCTCCTTCTCCTCGGCTGGTGCCCTCCTCATCACCACCGTGGTTGTGGTCTCCTGCTGCTGTTGTACTATCACGTACGATCATCGTCGTCGCTCGTGGGTCCAGTGGATTATAACCAGTACCCGGCAGATGACCCGCATCATCTTCCACGACGTAGTCCGGCTTCCCGAGCAGCTCTTCCGTTGATATCGCAAGAAAAAAGTGTTACAGTTACACATTGTGTTGTAGGCCAAGCAAGACAGACAAGCTCTGTCATGCCGGATATGCATACAAGCCTCGTTTCATCGGTGTTTTCCCGTAGGATTTCTGCATTACAAAAAGTGAATTGCGGCCGGTTTAGGCTAGCGCTCAAGGCCCGTAGCGATAATTATTGCGTGCGAATGGAAAGAAAAAGGAAACAAGGAAAAAAGGAAGAAAGGAGATTTATTTTGGAATTGAAGTGTGTTCTATTTGTGTAATTACAAGTTTTCTCACTCACGCAGAGAAATTTGTGTTGCGGAGTCGACTACAAATGTGTAACTGTAACACTTTTTTCGTGGGATAGTTGACCTCGGCTGCCTCGTGCTGGGTCGGAAAGACATCGTGCTGGTGCGGAAGTTGTTGCCACCATCTTCTTCCGGGTTGTAAGCGTGGTCGTGGTCAACCGATGCCCTACTGATGTCCCGAGGTACGGAAGACGGACTTCCTTCCACTCCGAGAACTTCCACGACGGACACGACAGCACTGCTCCTGTAGGACAGCTTGGCAAGATTTTCTTCGTGTGACGAGTTTGTCGCCGTTAAGGACGCTGCTCCTCCGATTGAAAGGAAAAATCCCCCCTCCCCATATCGAAAAGGTATGTTTCCGCAAATTTGTGTTGCTGATTTCAGACCACAAATCACGTCTGTCTTGCCAGAAGGCAAATCCAAAGAATCCGCCGCCTTGTGGTGGCGATTTGTAATGCTGTTTTACCTACATGGCAGGCCTCTGTTATACTAAGCGCCTACAACAAAACACCCCTACGCAGGCTGAGGCTTTGCCTGTGGTGCTTCATTGCAAGACATTGTGTACACAAATCCAGCAACAGAAGTTTTCGTTTCAATATGGGGAGGGGGGATCTTTCACTTTGATACCTCCCCGGACTTGCTTCCCCGCCTGCTGGACGCCGTCCATCAGCAAATCGTTGACAAAGTTGTCCGCCGTCACTGCGGTGAGCGATTTACTGCCGTTCGGGAACGGAAGCGCAGCAAAGCACCCCCCGTCATTGTCCCCAACGGGCGATGTGCTGTTGCTGCTCACCATCTGCTATCAAATGCAAAAGTGTCTGGGTCTGGGAGGATGGAACTTGTGATGCTGCATTCGGATTCCAAAAAAATTTGCATTGCATGAGCAGCAAAGGAGGTGTGATTTTTGCTACGCGTAGCAGTAGTAGTAGTGACCATTTGACTCCTGGCGGGTTGGCGTTAGAACAGATTTAGCCTCTGCCAATACCTGGGCGTTAGAACAGATTTAGCCTCTGCCAATACCCCTAGGTGGATACCCGATCCACTTCCTAACTATCACCCGACCGCAACCGCAGAACCGCTATCGATTTCTTACGCGCATGTACGGCCAGTGGGCGCTATGTGTGGCAGAACCCCCTTACCATCCAAGCCCGCGAGCAAGGTGGAAATACGCGGAGAGACCATTTGTCATGCGGAATAGGCATCAAGAACTCCGCAAAAGATCTGTGACGCTACGGCATGCATCACAGACATCATGGCTCATGCAAAAGGTGCATGACAAGTCTCAGAATCTTCCAGACCCAGACAGTTTTGCAATTGATATCTGCACGACCTCGACGGAACAGCTGTTCCCCTCCGCCTCGCGGTCGGTGCTTTTCGAGTATGACGTGCTCAAACGTCACAGTCTCAAACCGGTTACCATAGAGGTTGGAATTTGTGTTGCATCATGAGCATGACAGACTCGCAGACCATTCCACTTTCTGCAATGCAAATATCTCCAGTTCGTAGTGGGGTTCGGGGCTCCGGAACTTGTCATGCGCAACCCTATGAGAGTTGGCTAGATCATGCACTCTTGCATCACAGATTTCCATATTCCATTGCAACCGATTTGAGATTGTAACACCTGAGCGGATTATATCGAGGACGTCGAGTTTTTTACTTCTCTGTAGAACTCGTCGTTGATCTGAATGGGGCGCGACAGCGGATCGACCGGGCTAGATTGCATGTTCCTGCTCGCTATCAACTGCAAATATCGATCTGGGCCTGGAGAGTTGTGACACAACTCATGATCTGTGAATAGAAGTTGGACTAAGCACAATGCAATACACAGACTTAACAGTCATTTGAGTACACACGCATGACAGAGTTGTATCCTTGCAGACCCAGAGGACAAAAAATTTGCAGTGCATACTTGCCCGCTGTTCCTGGTGCGAGATGAGCCGGTCTTCGCGTAGTTGTAGTTGTCCTGAGCCAGTCGCAGTGGTAGACTCGCGTAGCACAGAGGAGGTGGAAGAAGACACGACACTGCTACTCGATGCAGGAGCTGCAGTTCCGCTCGGACTCGGCGCACCAGCTCCCACTCCTTGCACCTTGCGCGCGGGGCGGGGTTTGGTCGAGCTGCTCGCGAGTAGACTAGGCTCCACAGCGGAAGTAGATGGAGAGCTTGACGTCGTTGCAACGGCCGTTGTGCCACCGCCGGTCACGACCTCGCGACTGCTGATGCGCGGCGCTGTGACGATCCTCTGTTGCTCGGCGACAGGAATGCTGCTGTTCAACATAGTACTACGAGAACCACCTCCACTTCTCTGCTCTTTGCTCGCAACAGAGGAGATTTTCGAGCTGCTCCGCGACAAGGAGCTGCTGCTGCTTCCGCTTCGATGAAGCTGCGGCACTTGCGGGACTCCTTGGCCCTGGGTGGAGACGGGGGACGAGGTGGGTGAAGCGGTTGTCTTTTTTATCCCGGAAAAAGTACTAGCTCCGGTTCTTGCAAGAGCAGGGGCAGCTTCCGTGGTACTACAACTGGTGGCACCACCGGCAGCAGGACCCGAAGATCTACTAAATTGCTTCAAATGCGGCCCGCCAGCGTTTATGAATTGCAAAAGTGTCTGGGTCTGGAAGAATGCTAGATTTGTCATGCATATTTCTCATGGCCAATGATGCCTGTAATGCACGACCTAGCATCACAGACATTCTGAGGGCTTCCTGATGCGCCTTCCGCATGAGAAATGCCCTGTCCGTGTAGCACAAACTGGACCCCTCTTGCTGGTCATGCAACACAAATTTTCCTAGAATCCAAAAACAGCATGACAGGTTGCGACCTTGCAGACCCAGACATTTTTGCAAGGCATAGCGTTCATTTTCACAGAGTCGTGTTCCAGTGGGCTCGACGACAGTTCTCGGATCTGGTACGGACCTGCGACATCAAGATGTTGATCCGGATGAGGAATAAATTCCTCCAGCGAGGTCGGACTCGGAATCTTCTGCAAGGGAGATGAACTACTAGAAGTAGAAGTTCTTGCAGGGTTTATTTGCTGCTGCTGCACCAGTCCGTGTTGACCGCTTCGGCGCACTGTAGTAGAAGAAGTACTACTAGTACCCTGCTGCTGATGGTGTCCTTGCACTACAGCAGGAGCAACACCTGCGCCTGCACCACCCCCCGCACCACCGGTGTTCGTCGTCGTCGTGGTCCCTCGCGGCCGACTTTGCAGCAGGTCCGCCCGCGAGGGCCGTTTTTGCAGCAGCGGTGGCCGGTTGAGCAGCTGGGGCCGTGAGCTGCTCCGCGCAGGGTGGCTTGAGGTTGTTGATGTTCCGTGCTGCTGCTGTAACAGGTTCGACTGGTGCAGCGCACCGGACGACTTGCTCCCGTGCAAGTGGCTACTACTTTGTGCTGGCGCCAATTGATGATGATGTTCTTGTGCACCAGCATGATGCATAGCAGCCGCACCACTAACGGGTCTGGTGGAAGAACTACTTGCGGTCGCGCTCGTCCTCGTCCCGGGTGCGTAGTTATTCGCGGGTGCAGCTCCTCCTGCCCCTCTATGCATCATGGACGAGGAGGACGTCGTCGATTGCGACGCAGTGCGCAGCTGCTGCTGGTGAAGATGATGCAACCTGGAGCCACTGCTGCTATGGGAAAGCAGGTGCGAAGAGGAAGCAGAACTTGAAGATGTTGTTCCGACAGAAGATCCTCCCACGGTGTGTCGCTGCTGCATAGCGGTGAGTAATGATGTAGTTGATGATGGTGTCCCGCTCTGGACGTGGTCATGCGGGGTCGTGGTGGCCAACATCTTTCCGGACGTGCTCTGCCCGAACGGACTCTGTATCAAATGCAAATATGTGTGGGTCTGGAAGAAGTCGTGCTGTAGTTTTTGCATGACACAGAGGCTCTGGCATGAAAGCCCTAGCATCACAGGTTTGGAGATGAAGATTCCGCAATTATAAATGCCTAATCCACATGACAAATCCCCCACTTTGGTGGCAGTAAATCTTTTGCTGCCTACGCATGAGAGATTTGTATATTTTGTGAAATGCGCATCACAAGTTCACACCCTTCCAGACATCCAGACATATTTGCAATGCATACTCTGCAAGGCGGACTGAAAGGTCGGGGTGGACCCGCGACTGGAGGTCTTCGAACCAGGTAGAAGCCCGGTTATCCTGAGCAAAAACGTCCCCACACCAGAGTCAAGATGGGACATCTGCTAGACAAATCAACCAGCTGTAGTTGCTTCGCATGACAAGTTTGCCCTCGTAGTGCAATCCTGTTTGAGGTAGGTCAGCAGCATCACAGATCTAGCCTACGGTGCTGCCGATTCCAGCATCACAAAATCCAAAACACGACTAGAAAATGCTTCTCATGGGGCTCCGCATGAGAAACTTTTTTGGCATGCAGATTTGCATGACAACTCTGGGGTGGGGACGTTTTTACTCAGAATACCGGTCTGGTAGGAGCGCACGGTGTAGTAATCCTGTTCATTCGGGCTGATGCTGGTTGAGCCTGCTACTGAGTGGCCGCTTGTCCCCGCCTATGAATTGCAAAAGTATCGTGCTAGTACTAATTGCAATACAAATTAGCTCAGCATGACGCATGGAATTTGTCATGCTGTTTAACCTTGGGACGGAGATTTGTAATGCATGACTGCGATTACTACGAGTACGATAGTACTTTTGCACAGGATACAGCCCGCAGGTTGGAGGGCGGCAACGCCGGAGCTGCAGCGCGCTGAAACATGCTGGTCCACATATTCCGAGTAAAAACATCCCCGCCCCAGAGCTGTCATGCAAATCTGCATGCCGAAAAAGGTTCTCATGCGAAGCCCCATGCGAGGCTTTTTCTAGTCGTGCTTTGGGATTTGTGATGCTAGAAGTGGCATGATATGCTAGACCTGTCATGCTGCTGAACTAGCTAAACAGGATTACACTACAAGGATCGAAACTTGTCATGCGAAACAACCAAAGTTGGCCGATTTGTCTAGCTGATTTTCCATCTTGACTCTGGTCGTATGGGGACGTTTTTACTCAGAATACCACAGCCGCTTGGCGGTCACGGAGACGCAGCAGTTTACCGGCTCTTCCACAGAAACGCTGTGCTCTACTTGATGCCTGTCCCTCGCGGCTGCAACGGCAGCGAGTGCGACCGGGTCGTGGAGAGAGGAAGAAAAGTGGTCGTGCTGGTCCTGCTGCTGCTGTGGGGAGAAGCTTGCGCCGCTGTAGTCTTCGCCGAAGTCGGTTTGCGTAGAAATGCGACGAGTGATCCGACCAGTGGGGACGTCTACTCCGTTGATGTCCTCTGTCAGGTCGTCGTTGCACGCTGCTTCTACTGCTTCCCCTGTCGTGCCGGACATTCGCCTGCTACCATAGCGCCAAGGCTATAATTAACGAGGACAGTGAAGAAAGAAAGTGGTCAAAAGTAGAACTTCTTCCGCGTGTTCATCTTCTTTCCGTGAGTTGCTGTGCTGTCGCATGTTGTTTTCAGCACGACGGGTCGCGAGAAGTGTCGGGTCGCATAATGTTGCTCCGCTCGTCCGAGGTCCTCTCGTCGGAGGTTGTAGTGGAGAAGTTCTTGTATCTTTGTTTTTTTCTATACCACCTCTCTCCAACCCCGACGAAAAAAATCCTAAAAAATTTCAGTGAATCCATGTGCTTTAGATAAAAGAGTCATGACTGTACATCTGCGTGCTGTGTCAGCGCGGTCCATGTACTTAGTCGCACTTCTGCACCACTCGTCAATGTCTTCAGTACACCTTGTATCAACATTTATTTCCCACTTGCTTCAATGTGTGCAGCATCTTCTTCCGTAAGGAGCGGGTGCTTGTTGACCACGTCAAGCAGTGGGTAGTTTTCTTGCACAGTCTTTTGGAAAAATGCAAAGAAGTAACACACGAATTTTTTCAATCATCTCTCGCTCCTCGGTGTTACCGGCAACCACGAAAGAAGGAAGACTGACCACCTCGAAGGGAGATAACATCAAAGTTTACTGAGTTTTAGTTTTACATACACTGAATAAACTACTTCTGAAAGAACTTCTAAACCGGTTTTGTCTTCTCGAGCAACTCGAAGTACTTACCGACGTGCAGACCCGACGGCCGCTGGAGAACGTCAGAAGAAACCATCGAGCTGTTTCGCTTGCGAATCGAAGTCGAACATCGAACGAATTTTTAAACGCGATTTTGATGCGGTAGGGCCAGCCAAGAACGTGACTTTCTTTGCGCACTCAAAATAGTAACTGCTCGTCTGTCTAGAACTTCTTTTGCTATGGCATTGGTTGGTACAAAGGGTCCTCTTCTTCACAGTGTTCTGCTCGTCCTCCTCTCGGGTTGTTGTCGTTGTCGACAACTCTACTTCCATATCTTAGCTGTTCTTCTTTGAGCTGTAGTTTCTCGTCACGTAAGGTCATAGTACAAAATAGTTGTTACAAGGGGTCGTGCTGATCATGAGGTTTCGTTGTCACAGGTGCATTTTATCTTATTCATCGACGTTTCAATATCTGTATCAGTCACCAGTGTCCATATTTTAATACAACGGGCATTCTTATGCTTCTTGTGTGTCTGATTCTAGGAATCTCTCTTTTATCTCGTACACGGAGTGGCTGCCAGTGCCAGGCTGCAATCACACGACCGTGTGCTAAAATATCATGTTCACGAAATTCATCAAGTACTTTTTTCATCAACTACTTCTCCTTTTTAGCGCTCGTCTCTATATATCGAATCAAATCGCGGCAACATGTTGCTTCGCTCGATTAAAAATCTAAGGTTCTTCAACAGAAAATCTTGCTATCGACATTCATCAATTTTGGGTGCAATAAGTTGTATACTAAAGATCTAAAGCAGTGACTGTTTGAGGCAGTTCACAGTTCATCAATTTCTGTGCTTCTAGGATAGAAAACTCACACGGCTCCCGCCCTACTTCTTGTTCCAGAACATCTTCTTTTCCCGACGCGTATCCCGAACAGCTTCAGTTTTTATCATGTGTTTCTGCTTCATCCTCTATCCAAACACGATCTGCGACCTTGTCTTGGTGGTGGGGGGATAGTAGGCCTGCGTTGCGCCGTCTTGGAGGTGCGCATAGATTTCCCGGGTCCCCTGGCTCGGCAGCTTGATGCGCTTCGCCGCATCGATTCTTGGATACCCGACATCCTGAGAGAAAACCTCCCCACACCATGGGCAAGATGGGGACTTTGCAACACAAACCTGGAAATTTTGGGAATCACGCATGACAAGCTGCAGTCCGTAGTGTAGTGCAGGTTAGCAAGGAGAGCCACATGACAAATCGAAATCTATCTGCTTATCCTGTTTACAGCATTACATATTCCAAAACACGATTAAAAATCTATCGCCCTTGTCATTGGGATGCGCGCATTACAAATTTTTCTGCAATTGCAAATCTGCATCACAACTGTGGGGAGAGGACGTTTTTACTCAGGGTACCCGATGATCACCGACTCCCGCTTGGTCTGCAGAAATCCGTCACTTGCCAGTGCTATCAAATGCAAAAATGTCTGGGTCTGGAAACTTGTGAAGATGCTGGGTGGCGTATCATGAGGAGGCCAGAAGTGCTGGCTCAGCATGACAAGTTTCTGAGCTTCAGCTTCTAGGTGTTGCCTATTCTGCATGACAAACTGCGTTTTTGCATGACAGAAAAATGGGGCTCTTGTGTAATGTGCATGACAAATTCAACAGTCACGTGAGACAAGCATGACAAACTTGCATTCTTCCAGACCCAGACATTTTTACATTTGATAAGTGCCTTTTCTTGGTTTTTCGACGGCAGCATGGGCGGGTACGCGTGGTAGCGGAACGGACCGCCGCGCTGAGGGTCGTGTTTAATTTATTTGTCTAAGTCTACTTTACTTTGCTTATAAGCCACGACAGCACACTAGACTACCTACAAATAAAAAGATCATCTGTCTACTGCGCACTTGAATCAATTCTCGTGGCAGGTTCTCATCAAAACATGTGAAGACAAGAAGTACAACTGTGGTACTTACTTACCTCTCGCATCTGCTTTTCCTTCTCGTGTTCCGAAAACAGGACGCTGTTCGGGCCCTTCAGCAGTCTTCTTCCGACCTGTAGAAATTCGCCTTCGCGCCCGTACCCTTCACCGTTTAAAACGTTGAACGTATAGTCTTCCTTGTAGTTTTTCCAGCCACGGTATGAAGTGGGAGGAAACCTTCACCCAAGCTGGTGCTCGTGCTGTGTCTACTTGTTCGTCCGAACACAAAAAAGAAAAATTGTAATGCTTAGGATGCACAACAGTGCACCTTCTTCGATGCATAATTTGCCTTTCTTCCTTTTCCGAAAAGAAACAGAGTGTCAGATTGAATTTTTAACTACCATGCAAAGAGAATTTTTAAAACGACCACCGCACTTCTGCAATGGTTTCCACATCCCATAAATCTTGCACGGACTGAAAGTAGCTGTTGTTGATTTTTTTTGTGCACTGGAGGTAATTGCGAGCGACAGGCCCGACGCTGCTAAACAAAACCGCATGACGGTCTCGATGTCTTTATCGAAGACCCAGAATCTTCACCCATCTAGAGATACAAGTTCGAATGAGGATTTTGATTTTCGTCAGGTTTATTACGCATGACAGGTACTTACCGCACCGAAAAGAAAACTATACTTATCTCGGTTCGTTTGGATCTGCAACTCGCGCTGCAATCGGGGCGCATCTCGTATGGGAAGAAAAAGCTGTCTCACTGACTCTCAGAGCTTGTCATGCGAAGAAAGTTCTTCTTTTGGACCTCTTTTTGTCCTCATGCTGCTCGACATGCAAGAATTTGGGTTTTTCTTTGTGTTTTCTCTTTCTGAGGACGGCGCATGAAGATCTCGGACTTGTTTAGGTGTCAACAACATGCGGTGGAGAAATGATGAAATTGCTTTGCTGAGTCTACTGCACTATCGTTTCAGATTGAGATTTTTTTTTCGGTTGGCTACCTTGCCGGATTTCCGACTGTGCGCGGCGCTGGAAGCCCATGTGAAATCGGGTTTCGCGCAGGTCGGGCCTGTTGTATTTTTCAGGTCATAATCGGTTGTTCATCTGCAAGAACTACAGGTCTACGACTACGTCCTAATAAGTATTCTTGTTCTCGTAACGTCACATCATGACAACAATAATCTTGACACGACTAACAGTAACACCACACCCCGTCTTCATTACTACACTCGTTTTTGTTTTGAATCTAAGTAAGTAAATAACAGGTACTTAGTGGCGCACGAGTTCTCTTTTGCAATTTAATTTTCGCGTAGTACATCACAAACAGTTTTATACCCCGGCAGATAATTTCTTCCCCGCACGGGCAAAGCCACGGAACTAGCAGACGACGCGAGCTCTCGTATCAAAAGGAAAAATCCCCCCTCCCCAAACCGAAAACGAAGTTTGTGAGTCCGTATTTGAGTACTTACACGAGTCGACTTGTGTTGCTAGAAGGCCAAGAGCCGCAGGCGCAGCTGCGGCCTCGTTTGCTGGCATATATTGTCATTCTGTTTCCCACTTCCAGCTGCCTCCTGTCATGCTGAAGATGCAAGGCTTTTCCACACCCCCCAGCACTACGTTCAGTCCGCATCTTTTCCCTTCTAGCATGACAAAGCTGAAGATTTGTGACCACAAATCTGCATCACAGGTTCCCGTTTTGATATGGGGAGGGGGGATTTTTCTTCTTGGTATCCTGCTGCAGATAGTCTCCGTCGGACACGTATTGTGGGATCGCGCAGGGTATCAAATGCAAATACGTTTGGATCTGGAAAAGTGAAACTTGTAATGCTAGCTTTCCATCCCTGGAAAATCTGCATTGCAGAGCCAACAAAAGTCGCAGCCACTTTTGTCATGAAAAAAGGCCCTTCTACATGCGGATTGCGTATGAGAAAGCGTGGTTCTGGAAAGTTGTCATGCTGGGCTGCATTCGGAAGTAGTTCCGTCATCCACATAGGTTTCCAGACCCAGACATATTTGATTTTGATACAGGGCAGGTGGTTTAAAATCCGTTTTGATGACATCGGAGTGATATGAATTTTAGCAAAAGCATCGTGGACGTACTTGTACTTCTTTCTAGTAGAAATAGAAATTGCAAACAAACCTGCTCAGCATTGTTACACGTGGTGGAATTTGTCACGCTGATTTAGCCTAAGAAGAAAGAATATTTGCCATGCACAAACTGCCACCAGTACGACGAGTACGGTCCTCCTTTTGCACAGGATAGTTGAGCGGGAGCGTGTCGAACCTGGCATTCATTCCCACGGTGTTCGGGCCGTCGAGACAGGGTCGATAGGTCTTGTTGTGCGCCTCCACGGTATCCAACGCCGCGGCAGAAGTGCTGCTGCTGCTGCTCCCGCCGCCGCCCCCGGTTGTCGTGTGGAGCATCTTGACCGTATCACAGCGCAACACTCACTCCCCCTCGTCGTCTCTCGTCCTCGCATGAACAACCGCAACACAAGCACCATCGCCCCGCATGAGACGAGTTGACAAGAACTTAGTTGTACAACTTCTTCCTCTCATTTTTGATATACTACTAAGGCATGAACAGCAACGCGAGCAACGGCAGACACGTGTGCCCTCTGCATGACAGATCTTCTCGTCGTGCTGTACCCGGACTGTAGAAAATAGGTACTCCAAAATTTGTCATGCGAACAGTGCTTCTGCTTTTACACATGACAGATGAGGTAGAGGGGGACGAGGAGGAGTGCAGTCGCATAGACCGCGTCCGGCGGTGCCGCAGTGTCAGCCTGACCCATGGTGTTGTTTTATTCTTGTTGTTTCTTGCAGCAACGGCAATGCAATAGCGTTTTTGTGCCTCTATTTCGGCGCGTTGAACGTGTTGTACAGCTAACAGGCAAGACGTAAAATCAAGTATATTTACCGGAGTAAATTAGCTTTACTTCTATAGGTATTTCTACAACGCTCTCAGCTCGCACCTCTGTGCAGTAGATGAAAGAAGAGTCGCCTTGAGGACCATTTATTCCGGATGAGGGCTTGTCGTTGCCCCAGACCAGCACTCGTGGTCTCGCGGTTCTACTTCTTTCCAAAGCTCTCTCCACTGCACCAGCTGAAAAGGAACGATCTATCAAGCACAGTTTGTCACTTAATCTTTATCTTTATCTTACTTCATCATATGTGGTGGAAAATAAATGCCCGCTCCTCACGGGCCCCCTTCACAGTTCACACTTCTCAAGTTGTTCACACTGTAGTTTACCTTAATATTTCTCAGCCTGCCCTCTCGCTCTACTCCTGAGGGTACTTCATTTAAAAGCATTGCTATTCTGACCTTCTGGCAGGAGAACGTGAACAGTTACAGTAGTCGAAGGGGTGAAGAACACGGAACAACTACATAGGACTGCATTTATCAAAAACGCAGCTCCGACACACGACGTCGTGCGTCCATCTCGCGTTTTTATTTTTTCCTTTTCTTCGATTCGGGGGGAATGCATTGATAATTTTTTTCATTTTCATAATAAGTAGATTCGACGTCGCTCGACTTGCCGCGGGCTTGTTAAATATAGTCATGCTCAGATAAAAAATTTCATACTCAGTGAAGCAGAATTTAGTGCAGTGACTACACCACCTCCACATTCCATAATTAGTACGCGGTAATAATATTGTATAAGTACTTCGGTCGTGGTGCGGCTCCTGGTAAGAATGTAGTTCGCCACTTCCTCAAATATTACTTACCTTGGTGTCTTAGTCTTTCCACTTACTATTTTCGGCGAGTGAGTCGTGCTTTAAACGTTTATTGTTTTTATCCTCATCTGAGCACAAAAATATGAATGCCATGTAAAAGCACAAAAAAAGTCGCACAGCACGCTTCTACTAGATCGCATTCCCTATAATATCTTCACGGATTTTGTTTTCTTGCGGTTCTTCCTTGTGCGCGAAGCTAGTAAATAAGGTTACTCGTCTCCCTACCATCGCACGTTGCTCGAGATGAAACAACGAGAAAATAAACCACAACCAAAACGCGTGCGAATCCGAGGATAACATCAGGGGAATTTTCCTGAACCGTAGAAACGGTAAGCATAATGTACTACTTCTTGGGATCGAAGAAATACACATGCACATAAGACCTTTAAAAAAAGGAGTTTCGACTATAATGTTCTCGTCTGCAACGTCGAACCCGGTGGGGGAGAGATTTTTTTTCTTTTTTTAGAAATTATGTGCGTCTATGTTAAATCTGCAAAAAATATTATAGTGGGCTTTTTGTACGTTCTTCTTCTTAAGTGCTTAATTTGATTTGTAATTTGGGGGTCTTGAACTTGAAAATTAATGTAAAAATAAAAAATGATACCGCTTTATTACCGTACGACTGATACTACACTAGACACGCCTGCCGGCTGCACCGCGCCTGTCGTGCCACGGCTGTATTAAGTATTGCAAAAATAACGGGTCATTTTCCGCCACAAGTGCCTTGTTCCTTTGACCTGAAACTATGCTTTTCAAACTTGAATTGCACACCAGTCAAGTCAACAGAAAGTCAGGCAGGGAGATGATCATGTTATTTGTTTTTGTGAAGAAATATGAGGATACATGTGCTGTAACCTGTAGCAAGAGAGGTTTATAGCCCGGCTCTTTTCCGCGTTTGTTTCGAGACGAACGGACGGCGGGTCGGTATAGAAACGAGAAAAACGAGAGGAACAGCAAACAACGACGACGAGCAACAAGTGCAAAATGGAGCACAGCAACAGCAAGAAGAAGAAACAGCCACGAGTAGGGGATCTACTCGAAGCCGCAATAGAAACAACACGACGCAACTACGAAGAACTACAACAGAACTACATTGAAGCAGTCCGGGAATATCAAGACGCAAGCGACGAGAGGTTGAGGCGACGACTACGACGACTAGACAAGCAGCTTCGCAAGTACACGAAGCTCCTTGACCCCGCAGACATACCGGAAGTTGACACGTTGCAGCGCCGAGCAATAGCAATCTCGAAGCAGAACGCAGCATGAAAAAGGCGCGGCAAGCACTCGGCCCGGTGTAGCGAAGACCAGCGCCCCGGCCTGGTTTACGCATATTGGAACAGGAAGGGGGAGTTGTATATCGGGTCGACGCTCAACATTTTCGAGCGCTACAACCAGCACCGCCTTGCCCTTCTGCAAAACAGCCCAAAGAAGAAGTACTCGGACGGTATAGTCCGATTTATGGCGATCCGGGTTTGCGGATTGGTCGGCGAAGCTCGGCGCGCCGAGCTGGTTTTGATCCGGATGTTGCGACCGGAGCTAAACAGTGCGGGCGCATTGTTTGGCTCGCTGGAGGACGACGACCAGCACCTTTACGGCGAGCTTGAGCACGGCGAAACGAGAAAGAAACGGCAGAAGCGACGGGGCCGGCCACCGCAGTGGCAACGCGAGCTCTCCCACATCAGTATTCCAACGTCCACACTACTAGCAGTCCGACCACGGAAAAACGAACAAATCGGCGACCGGGGGAAAACCTACAGCGATATGCTAGCCCAAGCCCAGGCAAAGACCACGGGGCCGGTAAACATATACGACCGCCGCAACTTGCACATTCTGGCGAAGTACCTAGGCCAGAAACGCACCAAAGCGTGCCCGCTGCAGATGTTGCTCGCGCGGAGAGGCCACCCCTTCGAGTTTGCAGAATACAAGCTGCGTAGCATTGTCGATGGGGGCAACGTAGTCGTCGGGCCTGCTCGACAAAGAGCGAGGCGGAAGGTCGACTACCTGCTCCACATGCGGAAGTTGCCAAGCAGCTCCCGGATGTTGGTAACGTGGCGATACGAGTGGGAACGCAAGGAGCTGCTGCGCCTGCGGGGGGAAATAGTAAAAGCCAGCCACCCAGAAGTACGCCGCTTCGTCTCGGACGCCATCCAGATGCAGCGCGTAGCAGCGCCGCGAATGCGCTACTACACAAGATCCGCCGTGACAGCCGCAAAGAAGATCAAGACACTAGCAGAGCTGCCCCACCAGTCCGAGAAAATGCAGCTGTGGTCATGCCAGCTGACCGACCCCCTACCACCAGGAGATGAATCCGTCCGCCACATGCACGCGCAGGTGCGGCGGCTTCAGCGAATGGCGAACAAGCGGGTGCGCGGTTTCAGGCTACAGCGCGCAGGACTCGAAACTGAGCGGGACAAGCATCCCCTGACCGCAGAAGCAACGGAGATCGAGAGACAGATCGCAGGCGGGAAGGTTCTTGTCCAGATTGACAAGATGAAGGAGCTGGGGATGATCGTGAGCGCGGCCACGTACCAGAACTGGTGCGTGAAGGTAGTAGTACAGGAAAGCAACTTGCAGGTGCAGCGGATATCAAAAGCGGAAGCAATAGACCGAACAAACGCAGCAATAGCGGAGTGGAATGCAAACAACGGACCGAAGAAGCGATACCAGTTGGACAACGTGAAGGACTTGGCGTACATCTACGTACTCCCGAAAGGGAAAAACCTCGTCCTGAGCGAATCCGGTGGGATCATCTTCAAGCCAGGCGTTCCCACCGCGAAGCTTTTCCGCAAAATCGTCAGCCAGGTGCGGGCGATAACAGGCAGGAACAGGACGGCCCAGAGGAGGTGCGTCCGCAAGGTCGAGGAAGCGATCAGGGGAGTTCTGAGAGAAGGCAAAGAAAGCGAATCACTACACACGGCGGCTGCCTCGTTTCGTGCCAAAGTGCACAAACTGAGGCCATGCGAAGGCACCTGCCTCCGGTGTGGTTCGACCGAAATGCCCGGTGGCGTCATCATTGATGCCGTCGTCTTCTTCGAACGGATCCAGATCCAGCAGCTCCGCGACCGGGCGGACTACATCCGCGCGCAGCCAGAGTGCACCGAAGAACAGCGCCAGGAGATCGCGTTTCTTCTGTTCAATGTGACGGCCTTACGCTACTCAACCCTGGGGAGTGGGGCCAGTTGCACAGTGTTGAAACAAGATCCAGAAAAGGGCACGCCGATCGGCGGCATTTGCAGCAAGACCGCGTGCTCTATTTCTATGGGCGTGGCCGAACACAAAGCGTACGCAGATCCCGCCTGCGAGTTGAAAGACGACACCGTAGCAATGGAGAGATTTGTAGACGATTCGGGTGGCCTTAGTAGTGTTTTCTGTACTCCCTGCACCGACGCGCTGATGACTGAAATGTATTCAGGCGTCGAAGTAGAACTTGACAGGAAATTGCTGCCACGCGAAGACAACACGGACACGCAGTACATGCGATGGCTCCACTACGATCTGAATGCAAAAATCCGACCAACAGACAAACGGATACAAATCGAGACAGTTCTAAAATCGAAGCCGCTACAAACGAAGTTTCGCACCAGTTCAGATATACAGTACTACACAGGGATCTTTCGAAGCCGCATGCTGTCAACATTACGCGACGCAACAATAACGCAAAACAGCAAGATCGTCCGTCTTCTTGATGAACTGCTTCAATGGATCGAGAACAAATTCAACTTCAAAATCTTACGAACTATTCTGCACAGCGTCGCCCGGTCTTCTCTAGTAGGTTACCCTAGTAGCCTGAAAGTCATCAGACTAGCAACTTCACTTCTTTCCGTTTGTAACGAAAAACCAGAACCAGAACTAAAACCGTACATCCTCACCATCATGCCGTCGAAACACGGTAAAGACAGCGACGGCTACTGGAGCAGCAGCAACCAGTGGTACGAACGCGCCCCGAAAACGGAAGAAGAACAAAGGTTCGCGGACTACTACCAGGTTCAGAAGATGTCCGATTACATTCGGACAAACGAGAAGAAGATCCAAGAGGAGAAGCAGCAGAAGGAACGTATCGAGAAGTACACTTCCTTGGCCGGCGCAATTTCCGAAGGAATCGAGAAGAACGCTTCTGGTGGCAGCAAGAGCGGCGACTTCATCACCAAAGAACAACTACAGCAGCAGTTCAACCAGTTCGGCGAAGCGCTCACCGCTCGCTCCCAGCAGGAGAAGAAGCAGCTACGCACCGAATTCCGCGGCGAAATCCATACGGCCGTCAACGCTGCCGTGACCGGGATTGTCGGGCAGATGCAGACGGGGTTTACCGCCATCACCGACACGTTGAACCGCATGCAGCAGCAGCGCGCTGCTGGTGCTGGCATGGCGGGCGTGCCGCCGTATGGAGGAGGGTACTATGGTGGCCCAGCCCCGGCCCCGGGACCGCCGATTGGTATCCCAGTCCCGGGACCGCCAGCTGGTGGTGCTGCAGGAGGAGTTGCTGCGGGTGGCCCCGCCCCCGCCGGGGGTGCAGGTGGTGTCCCAGCTGGAGGTGGTGGTCCCGCCCCTGCCGGAGGTGCCGGAGGAGCAGGTGGCATCCCAGCCGGAGGTGGCGCTCCCGCGCCCGGCCCGATCGGAGGTGCAGGTGGTGCCGGAGGAGCAGGTGGTGGCCCCGCCCCAGCCCCAGCTGCCGGTGGTGCAGGAGTCGGTGGAGTTCCCGTGCTGGCGATGGTCGGCCAAGCGAACGATGGAACCTTGATTCAGTACACGGTCGAAGACGTCAACAACAACACGAACAAGGTCCGGCTGTATGAGCTGCTGAGTGCGGCCGAGCGGCAAGCCCTGACCGCCAACAACACAGCCTTCGAGAACTGCGATACGCCGATCGAGACGAAGCTGGAAGAGTTCAACCGCGACGAGTTACGGATCATCTACCAGCGGATCCATGCGGACCGACGGGCTGCGGCGTTCCCCGGCAATGGTCCGAACCAGGTCCAGAAGGCGGCCCTGGTCGATGGCATCCAGCAGTGCTTCAACCGGCAGCACGACCAACACCCAGTGCAGTAGAACAACAGAAGAGAACAGCAGAAGATCAGCAGCAGTGCATTCCAGTAGTGTGGAGCAGTAGAACAGCCGAGAAACACAGTAGTGCGGCACCGGGACGACTTGTGCTTTCCCCTCTACATGTTCCCGTTTCCCGATGGGTTTGATGAGGATGCCACCTGGAGTGAGTCGCGCGCAAGATTAGCTTGCTGGTGCTGCATGCACGAACACTAGGTAGACAGACAGCCTGCATGTTCCTGGCCCTTGCTCTCGTGTGTGCCGTTGTTATGATCTTGTAGTTCTGCTTCAGCGCGATCGGTTGAGGTTAAAATGATCACAGTATTGTTGTACTACTCATACGCGCCAGGTGTCCGTTTCCACATCGGTCTGACCGCGTAGGAAGCACATCTGTTGTCCTGTTATTTGTAGTAATTTATCTTGCAATAGAGTCGGTCTCGTGAAGAGGTGCCGTCGCGTAGTACTAGCACCCTACTTTCACTCTTTTCGCCTTTTCGATTTGTAGAACAGATGGATCATACCGTGCTAAGTGCAATTGCACATCGCGACGCGTTTGGCAGATTTGTAATGCAAATCTTCAACCTTTCGATACGTAGATAGTGCAGTTTGTCTTGCACACGCCGATCGCTTTTCTCACTAAAATGGAATCTGTCATGCGTATTGGCGCGTGTGGGCAGTAACGCAACTGCAACAAAAACCAAAGCGACACACTAGCACTAGCACCCTGCTTTACCTTTTTCGCCGTTTCGATTTGTAGAACAAACTGGATCACACCGTGCTAAGTGCTATTGCACAATGCGACGCGTTTGGCAAATTTGTAATGCAAATTTTCAACCTTTACTCCGGTTTGTGGCACACCGTCAAACCGGCGCACATCTTGACCTTTTTCACGAGAAGCAAGAGAGACGACGAATTTCCTTTCACTTTACACATGTTTTTCACCTTGTATTTACGCGACCAACGACATGCAAGTGGTAGCATTTGCTTGGTCTCGCATAACAAATTCACCACATCAACACAACAATAGGGAACTAGCTACGACAGTAGCGTGAGAATCGCCGCTAAAAGAAGCTCACGGTAGAGCGAAGTGGAGCAACAGCCCACTACTGAACCGTTGTCGAAAGCTCTCAGTTTCTCACTATGATGGTGTTTGTTTGATGTTGTTGTAGGGAAAATATGGAAAGATGAAAACAACCGGAGCATCGCGTTTGCGCGAGGACCTGCGACAGCAAAAACATCTTCGTTTCAGATTGTTCAGCGGGAAGTTCAGCGAGCGACTTCCGCAACGCGTGAGTGAAGAAATATGAGGATACATGTGCTGTAACCTGTAGCAAGAGAGGTTTTTGTACAACGCAGCCTTCCTTCACAAATAATTTCGTAGCAAGAAACAACGGCAACGAGTGCAGCTGTGCAGTTCGAAATTCTTGCGGCGCTTGTTTTTCTCCTTCGGCAAGCCGCAGCAGCAGGAGCTTCTGGAACCACAGCATCTGCCCTGGCTGTGGTCTTCTTTCGTGTACTAGTATAATGCGATACAGTAAAAAAAACCGGATAAAGCAGGAATTTTAATGTATGACAGGCACTACAGAATAAAACGGAACATCATGCGGGAAATAAAGTCGTAAAGTTCAGTGGGGCTTTGAGTTCTTCTTACATAAAAGTAATTTGAATAAATGTAAACGACATCTCTACACCGTATAATAAGAACTGATACACACGACTACACTAGACACGCCTGCTGGCACCTCCGCGCCCCCTGCGCCACTGTTGTACTGAAACCACGGATGTTGAAACAACGGCTCTGCCACCAAAATCGCCTCTCTTGGACCTGAAACAAGAAAAACTGTATCCAAAGCAAAAGTGTCTGGGTCTGGAAGGTTGCAACTTGTAATGCTAGCTCTCCATTATACCCAGGAAATCTGTACTGCATAAAACCAACAAAAGTAACAGCCTCTTTTGTACACGCAAAAACGCACTTTCTCATGCGGATTTCCTATAAGAGAGCGCTCTGAAAAGTTGTGATGCTGTGTTGCATTCGGAACGGTTTCCATCGTCCACATTTTAGCATCACAAGTTTCCAGACCCAGGCATTTTTGCAATCCATAAACTGCGTCTTCCAGCAAACTTGAATCGAAACAACAGAGATATCGAAGGGAAAACTCCCCCCTCCCCATACCAAAACGAAACTTCTGATGCTGGATTTGTGTAAACAAGTCAGCGCTTTCGTGCGGGAGAGCACTGCAGGCCCATACTAAGGGTGAGTAGAGAGGCTTTGGCCTAGGCGCTTTAGCATGAAAAACGTCCGCACTGTAGGCCCAGCAGCATGACAAACCGCCTGCACAGTGTGGCGGTTGTCTGCGGAGTTGCCTTCCTGCAAGACAGACACGATTTTTGACCACGAATCAGCATGACACATTTCCCAAAGTATACCTTTGCAGTATGCGGAGGGGGAAATTTTTCCTTTTGATAAGAGAAAGACAGGCATGGGGTACGAGCAGCTGACGTTCCCGTGCCCCCTGCGCCACTGTTGTACTGAAACCACGGATGTTGAAACAGCGGCTCTGCCACCAAAATTGCCTTCCTTGGACCTGAAACAAGAAAACCTGTGTCTTTCATACAAACTTGAATCGAAACACAGGCGTCAGGGTCAAGTCAACAGAGAAAGACAGGCATGGGGTAGCACTAGCAGCTGAGGTTTGTTGTACAACTACCATCGGCCAATGACATTTTATTTTGGTGCAAAGCAAAAATCACGGCAAGACCTGCAGCTGCTGTGTAGCTCGAAAAAGTAAGCCCCAACCGGATCCTGTGTAGCTCGAAAAAGTAAGCCCTAACCGGATAAGTAATTGCGTGTACAACGACCTGCGACGCAACAACAAGCGTGGCCCAGTCTGTAACCGAGCTTGCTGCAGCGCCGTGCGTCGTCGTGGCGCAGTTATTCGTCCGTATAGCTACTGCCGGGGAAGCAATAGAAAATTACGGAGCTTCATCCTTCTTCTGGCAGTGGTCAGCAGGGCCACTACTACAACAACTTGAACTTCTGGCGTTGGCATACCTCCTTAAAATTATACCTGTATAGTGTGTGTATGATACAGTAGAAGAGTCGATGAAAGGGAATAGGAAATAAAGTCGTTAAATGCTTGAAATTTTGATTTTCGAAAAGAACGGGCTTAATGTTAGTTTTATTTAATGTTAATTCTACAACTACAGTGGCACAAATGAAAATCGTAAAACATCATGTGAAAGAAGAGAAAAGAAAGTTGCAAAAAAAAAACCGGGGGAATAAAGCGCCGAACGCTTTGTCTTTTTGTCTTCGAGATCGTGGTTTGTCAAGTTGGAAAAGACCGGGGGAATAAAGCGAAGAACGCTTTGTCTTTTTGTTTTAATTTACATGGAGGAAAGGAAAAGTACTTCAGTCGTGCTTGGAGGAAAGGAGAAGCATTTTTAGTCAGAATTTGTGATGCTGTAAGCATAATGAGCAGATGGATTTGTGATGCCTCTCGCCCTTCTCCTTGCTAACCTGCAGTACAATACCTGGGAAAAACTTCTTGTCATGCGTGACTTCAAACATCAAAACAATACCGGGGCGGGAAAGTTTCGACGTTGAAAAAAAAAAACAAAATTTGCAAAATTGATTCCTACACTCCCTGGCTTATCGTCTTGCAAAAATATTCTACCTCCTTCTGTTTATTTTTGCAGTCGTGTTTTTTACTAAAGCTATTCGGCTTCAGCTTGGAAATGATAAAGCGATGAAATTGTAGTGAAAAATTTTGAACTGAAGTGCTGATGAAAAACGTTTTGAATTCTTGTTCTTCAAAAAGTCGTTAGACTTGTCTTATCCACGGCGTTGTTCGTCCTTTTTCTTCTTGCCCATGACCGTGTGCGACCACGCAAGAAGCCAGTCCTTGCAACATGGCACCTGCTCTGCGGATATCAAGTGCAAAGTGTCTGGGTCTGGATGATTGCAACTTGGCATGCTAAATCTGAATCAGGCAAAAAGCTGTGTTGTATGATTGCCAAAACAGGTTGTGCACTTTTAACCTAGTCGAGAGGCAGTTTCTCATGCAGCATAGGCATTGGAAAGGTCTCACAGAATCTGTCATGCTATGTCCTGCATGCCAGACCTCATGGGTCATGGAAGACCTGCATGACAAACCTGGCAATCTTCCAGACCCAGACATTTTTGCAATCCATAGCGGACCTGCTGCATTCGTCTGTTCTGCGAGAGTACGTCGCGACATGGGCGAGCAGAAGGTGGCGGCCTCTGAAAGATCATACCCGTGCTGTTTCTTTATTCGGAAGAAGAGTTTATTCGTAGAGACGGCCCTGGCTGGTCGTCGTGTAGAGAGTCCTTCTCGTTGTCGAAAGTTCTCCGAGATCATACATAGATACGTCGATGAAAAGTTCTTCTAGTACAAAAATTTTGGTTTTTTATTTTTAATGCGATGGTGGTGCTCCTGGTGGAAAATGATAGATAATGAACAAAAGCTAGTCGTGTCTGCGGACAGAATGAAAAAGTTGCGTTGCTTTGTATAAAATGCAAATATGTCTGGGCCTGGAAGATTCATCTGAGACTTGCCACGCACGGGTTTTTGTGATGCATGCCCTAGTATCACAGATTTTTTGAGGACTTCTTAATGCCTATTCCGTGCGACAAATAATATTCCTACTAGCGCGTAGCAAAAAATCCATTCAGATTGCTGCTCATGCATCAATACAGATTCTTCATCTTCTAGAACCCAAATGCAGCTGCATCACAAGTTGCACTCTTCCAGACATCCAGGGATATTTGCATTGGATATTTTTATTTTGGAAAGATAAACAATTTTTGCAAGTAGTGACAGCGCTGAAAGATCCTGGAAAATAATTACTTAAACAAGACAAGTTTTTGATAGTCGTATCGCGTAGAAATGCTGAGTGGAAAAGAAAGAGTTTTTTTACTAGTGTTGTCGTTGTGAAAGAATAAGAAACCGAATAAATAAGTAAGCTGGAAAGATTTCTTCTTGTTGCATTCGCGCTGTTTATTTCGTCCGTTCAGTTCGTCTTCACACAGCAAAATGAAAAAGAAAATGTTTTTTTAGTAACAAGAACCCGTAAAAATAAGTAGAACTGCTACTCTTTTGCTTTTCTGACAACACGCGTCCAATTGTTGTTCACGCGTCAGCAACACTCCCCGTTGCCAGAAACCGCGACGTTGCTTGTTGCCGAGGCTTATGAACTGCAAAAGTATCGCATTCGTATAAATGCATTACAAATTTCCTCAGCATGAGAAATAAAATTTGTAATGCGAATTTACCTTAAGAAAAAGATTTGTAATGCATGATTGCAATACGAGTACGATACTCTTGCACAGGATAAGGCTGCAGCCCGGGCGACGGCCGGCTTCGCGTTTTTCTGGTTCTGCAGTTTCGCTTCCGCCTGCTGGGTATCAAATGTAAAAGTGTCTGGGTCTGGAAGATTCTGAGACTTGTCATGCACGGTTTGCGTGAGCCTTGATCGATCTGTGACGCATGCCCTAGCGCCACAGGTTATTTGCTGAGGGATTCTTTTGCCTATTCCGCATGACAAATGCCCTCCTCGCGTAGCAAAAATCAGAATCCTTTTGCTGCTCATGCAACACAAATTTTTCAGACATCCAAATACAGCATTACAAGTTGCATTCTTCCAGAGGACCCAGGGATTTTTGCATTTCATACTGGGCCTGCGCTTGCACGGCCGCGACCTGGTTGCTCACCGCCTGCACCTGCTGGTTGGCGGCGGCTTCCGCGTTTTCCGCCGCTTGCATTCCCGCGGCCGCTTGTGCGGCTCTGTTCTCCGCATCCCGAGTCTTGCCCGCCTCAATTTGGATTTTTGCGCGAAGTTGCGCGTTTGTGGTTCGCAGAGCCTCGTACTGCTGGTGGAAATTCTGCTCCATCTGCTCCGAATCTATCAAGTGCCAAAGTGTCTGGGTCTGGAAGAGTACAAACTTGTATGAGTGCGCATTTGAGAACAGGAACACAGAAACATCTGTCATGCATAAGTAGCCAGCAAAAGTTGCCCACTTTCTGTCACCAAAGTCAGGGACTTGTCATGCGTATTCGGCATTGAGAACGCTTCTCGCGGAAACCTGTAACGCTAGAGCTTCCACGCCAGACCTTCTGCGCCGTCCTCTGTCATGCAAAAACAGAATGACTCTTCCAGACCCAGACACTTTTGCATTTGATAGCATTCTGTGCAGCCCACTGCTGCGCCCCGTTCAGCTTCGACAGCAAGCTCTCGCATCCTATGGAAAAACGTCCCCACGACCCCAGAGTTGTCATGCTAAACAAAATGCGAAACTACACTTTGGTACCCCAGAGTTCTTGTCATGCAAATCTGCATGGTCAAGATGTTTCTTATGCGGAACCCGACGAGACACATTCTCTAGAAGTCGTGTTTTGGAGTTTGCGATGCTCGACGCAGGGCGATTTGCTGGGACTGCGAAGATGCTGCTGGAGCTGGATCTACTAGCTCGACAGGATAATAAATTACACTACGAGGCTAAAACTGTGGTCACTCGTAGCAACCGAAGCTGGCTGATTTGCCTAGCAAATTTTCCATCTTGACTATGGGGTCGTCTTGGGGGCGTTTTTACATAGGATATGTCCGACTGCTCTTTCTCGGCGGTGAGCTTCGACGCCATTCCCCGCTGGTACACCTCCTGCAACGTGGCCAGATCGGCGCTCGACATCCATGAAGGCGGAGTCTGAATCCCCGACTCGTGCAACCCCCTCGCCACCATGCTCATCGCCGTTTGTAGCTGCTGCTGGCGGGCGCTCGCGACTTCCTGGGAAGACCGCAGCCGCTCTGCCGCCTCCGTTTCTTTCGCGACTGCGGCCTGAATGAACGCGTTAAGTTGCTCCACTTGTTGTTCGTGCGCCTGTAATGCGGCGGCGAGTCTCTCCTGTTCGGTTGTACTCCGCGCCATGCCTTCCAGTGCGTTGCGGTGAGCGGTGTTCGCTGCCTCTTTCTCTCCTTTGAGTGCGTCGAGCTGCGCGCGAAGCTCTGCAATTTTCGCATCTTTTTCCGTGATTCCGTTCGACAGCTGTTGCAGCTGTGCCGCAGCTTGCTGTCCGGCAGTTTTTTCCTGCGCCAATCGTTCATCCTGTTCAGCGAGCCCGCCCAGCAACTTCTCGCACTCTGCCTCACGTTCCGCGACGTTGCGCTGGAGTTCTTTGGCCTGCTCGGTGAGCTGCGCCTCGGCGAGCTTAGCACTTTCCGTTGCGGATCTGGCCTCGGCGAGCTCGGCCTCCAAATTTTCGTGACTTTCTTGTGCCTTTTCGAGATCGCGCGCTAGTTGTTCACTCATTTCGAAGAGCTTGCGAGCAACCTCTTCAGCGTTCCCCGCCTTCTCGAACCGCACCAAGGCCTCTGATGCCGCTGTTTTCGCTGCCTCCAGCTGCTCTTGTGAAGCGTCCTGGCTTCCACCGGCGATCACGGCTCTTAGGCGGGCAACATCTGCTGCAGCTCTCTGCGCGTTCTCCTCTGCGGCGCGCTTGGCGTCCCCGAGCACTTCAAATATGAGTTGTGGCCATCGACAAGAAAGAACCCGTGTCCACCATGATGTATTTGATGCAGCACGACTCACTGCTGCGCGTATCTATTGTCAGTACACTGAGTATTGCACAGCAACTTCGGAAACCGCATGCCGCAAACAGCAAAACCGCCGAAAGCTTTCCCGCCAATCGTTGTGCCTAGAGGTTACGATTCCGAGGCGGGATGCTATCAGGAGTGTTCTTGCTGACTCTACTTTAATGAGCGAAAGCAGTCCAACGAGGAACGCCACCCCCCCCTTGAGGTCGCACTTGTATGTACTAGCGCGCTACATTTATTGCTTTGCTCCTGCCCTTCCAGTTTACCAAGTCTGCTGTGCTGCGAGGTTACCTACCTGGACTTTGCTTGCCTTGCTGCTCGAGTGACATGCAACTAGAGGCCGTTACCAGCTACCCAGCGGTCACCGCGGCTGGCACTCTTGCAGGAAAGACAAAAAAATCACCGCATTGCGTCATAGCAGCCGGAGGCTCTTTAACTTCCCACCACGCCCTTGTCGGCGGGGGAAAACCGTCGAGAATGAGCGCTGTCTTCCCGCCTCGCGGGACCCAGCAGGGCGGGGTCGGTGGCAACTACATGGCGAGCTCCAGCGAAGCGGGAAGGAGTCTGCACCAAAACAGTCGCGGGAAAACATGAAAAACGACAGTGGAATATTGCGGGAAAAAGAAAATACAACGATGGCCCCAGCTAAGTATCTATGTCAAGATAACGAGCCACGATGAAAAAGAAAACTAGTTTTCGACACGAGTATAGCGTGGACGCCGGCTGCATCATTTTACGTACTTATTTTCCCGACTGCACTTGCAGTCACGTCGAAACTATTGTTCTGCCACATATTTATAATGATCATGCATGAACGAATACACGACACCAAATACGGGGAGGTGGACACGATTGGTGTTCTGGGTAGGAATCGGGTTCGGGATGAGAGTTCCGGAGAAATAGAACGAGGAGTTTCTAGGTCGTCATCTCCGTCTTCGGACCGAGCAGCAAGATCGAAATTCCTGATTGGTGGAACCCGCAGCCTCGCCGCCTCCGCCTTCGCCTGCTGCAGTTGCGATTCCAAGCTTCTGATCTTCTGGTCCTTTGCAGAGAACTCCGAAGCCAGCTCTTGGCGGAACGCGGATAGGAAGTCCGCCAGAGAAATGTGATCCAACGAAGATAACGAAGGTGGATTACCCAACCACCCGCTCATCGCTCCTTTCGCCGCTACTAACTCCTTCTCGAGGGCCTCCATCTTTTGCCCCAGTTGCGCACTCCTCTCCTCAGCCGCTTTCTGCACGCCGATTGCCGCCTGTGCGCGTTGGTTGGCGGCCGCCAGATCTTCTTGGTTCTTGCGCAGGGTCGCGTCAAGCTCGGCAGCTGCGGCGGCACTGCCAGCACCTGCACGAGCCAGGGAACCTTCCAGCTCTGCTTGCTGCTGCCCGGCGAGGCCCAGTCGTCTTTCTGCTTCTTGAAGCTGTCCGTTGATTGCTATCCGTCGCAACCGAATCCCCCCTGCAATGCCAATACACACTTAAAGCCCAAGCATGTCCTAGCAGCCAATTCGTGTCTGCACGTTGGGAAAACTAACAGACCATCGGCTTTGTCCGTCGGGGAGCGGGCGCGAAAGACGGCTCAACTTGGGCCAGAGGATTCCGGAGGGGCTTTTGGAATCCTCTGAGGAACCCTCTGTGGAATCCTCCCCCGAAACCGAGGTCGTGCCATCGGGGGAAGGGCGCGGAAGACGGCCCAAATTGGGCCAGAGGATTCCGGGGAGGATTTTGGAATCCTCTCCGGAATCCTCTGTGGAATCCTCCCCCGAAATCGAGGCCGTGCCGTCGGGGAAAGGGCGCGAAATACGGCTCAACTTGGGCCAGAGGATTCCGGAGAGGATTTTGGAATCCTCTCCGGAATCCTCTGTGGAATCCTCTCCCGAAATCGGGGCCGTAGCATCGGGGAAAGGGCGCGAAAGACGGCTCAAATTGGGCCAGAGGATTCCGGAGAGGATTTTGGAATCCTCTCCGGAATCCTCTGTGGAATCCTCTCCCGAAATCGAGGTAGTGCCGTCGGGGGAAGGCCCTCCGAGGCGGACCAAATCGGGCCAGAAAATCCGCGAGGCAAAGTCCGCGCGAAATGTGCGCCGGTTTGCCGCGCCTCCCAATCCGGCGGCAAACAGCACGGGACTCTGCCACTTCGCTCGTTTTTGTGTTGTTTTGAAACGCTTAGCCAAAGCAAACACAATCACGAGCGGACTGCGTCGCCACAAGAGGCAAATCGCGTGACATTTACAAGGCCAATCACCATGGGAGTACTCTCCGGCGGCCGCGCTGGTTTTTGAGGCTACAGGAGCGGAAACCGTTGTTTTTTAGGTCCCACAGCGTACCCTTCTCGATAACAAATAAGCACTGAAGGCCCAAGCACAGCCTGCAGTTCGTGTCTGCATGTCGGGAATGATCTGTCTTTCCCGACGACGAGTGCAAAGCGCGCCGCTTCTGCAATACTGCTCGTCGCCTGCCGAAGTAGGGTTCTAAATAAGTACCACGTCGGCACAGAAAGGCGCATGCAAATCATCACCGCTAACTATCCCTCGCAACGACCTCCTTCCACAGTCACAGAAAGCGAACTACTTACTCCTTGTTCTTAAGATCTTGCTGGTGAACTTTCAAAACCGCTATCCTTATCGTGCCTGCATGATATCAACTGCAAATATGTGACGGTCTGAAAGCGTGCAACGTCTAATGCTGCCTCTGGATTCATCTACAAAAAATTGCATTGCCGAACAGACTGCGCTAGCGAATCAGGCTTAGTGAGCGAGAAGACTCCAGTCGTTGCTTCGCGGGGACGAGGGCATTTCTCATGGAGGAGAGGTATCAAGAAGCCCTCAAAAAGTCTTGATGGTAGCGTATACATCACAAACATCATAGGTCATGCAAAATGTGCAACATGACCACAAGACCACAAACCTTGCACTTTTCCAGACCACCCAGACACATTTGCAATGCATATACAGCGTGAACAACGCAATGCAACTATTGTTTGACTAGCGAGGGGGGACGGATTTGCGAAGCATACGTCGCGCTACCTGGTTTTGTGTGATTATGGACTCCAAATAGCGCGCGATCTTTTCAAAAAGGAACTTCTGTGCCCGTCCTTGTTGTCATGCAAACAAAGCGCAGACACAACTGCCGGCAAGCTCAGGTAGCGCCTCAGAAGCGTCGCCAGCGGTGGCGGCGGGCCAGCTTCTAGTAAATACAGAGTATACGCAATAAGTAATTAGTTAAGCGCCACTACATGTACTTTCATGACTGGCCTCCTGAAGCTCGTAAGGGCCGCAACTACCAAAGTGACCCCCTAGAGCGGCAGGGACTACAACATTTTTTCAGGCTTTGTCCCTCTTGGTTTTATGCAGAGCAAAGCTGTTCCGCTCTGACTGATCACCACGATAGTACACCAGCATAACAGCGTCCCGTTCTGCCTCTACCGCAGCAACAATCCTCTCCAGCTCTAGCCGATCCCGGTCCGCCGCAGCCTCGGCTTCGGCAGCCCGGCGTTGCTCCTTCTTCGCGAATCACAACAAAAGACACACTCTCGCTACCATATTATTTACCATACATTTTTTTGAATGCCATTACAGCGACAATGCCATCAAGCGCGACGAGTTTCTGCACGGTCTACGCAGAACCCGTGAGGACTGCGGAGACAACACCACCTTCGCGCGCAAAGAGACAAAGAGACATCTTCATCTACTCATCGCAAATAAGTATTTATATTAGCAGGACACATCAACATGGATAGCGAAAGTATATGGTTGTTGCGATACCAATTCTTCTTTAGTCCTTTGTAGCTCGTCTCGCAAATGAATAGCTTGCGTCTTAATTGCTTCCTTCGTTCTTTCTACTTTTTCGAGCTTGGAAGCACGCGCCTGGCTTCCTCCCACGCGTGCCCAATTCTGTGTATGCATTGCAAATATCTCTGGGTCTGGAAGGCTGCAACTTGTCATGCTAAATCTGGATCAAGCAAAAATCTGTGTTGCATAATTACCAATAAAGATATCCACTTTTGAGCAACCCGAGAGGCAGTTTCTCATGCGGAAAAGGCATGGCAAAGATCTCGCAGAACCTGTGATGCCAGGGCATGCATCACAGACCCCATGCGTCATGCAAAACGTGCATGACAAAACCGTTGCACTCTTATTCCAGACCCAGACGTATTTTTTGCATTTGATATTCTTTTGCTGCTTCTGCTCTTGCTTTATAACCCGCTCAGGTCTTCTTACAATCTCAACTGTTACAACAAATTCTGGATTTTGTCTTGCATATCACATCAGACTGTGCGGGCTACACAGTAAAGATCATCCGTGCGAACACGACACAGGAGTGGGTTTTGTCTTGCATGATCAGCATGACAGACTCGCAGAGCATTCCACTTTCTCCAACACAAATTTCGCCAGTTTCTAGTGCGATCTGGGACTCCTTTTTGCATCAAGAAGCTGCGTTTCTATATGTAACTATTGAGATTGTAACACCTGAGCGGGCCATATGCTCTTGCTTCTTCTGCTTGTGTTTTTGCCTTTTCCAACGTCGGATCCTCGTCTTTTGAAAATTATCAAACTGAAAATCGTTCGCCCCGACTCACCATGTTCAAACAGCACCCGCAGTTTCAAATTAATAAAAACGCGTTCTTCTGCCATGCGCGCGCTGTTCGCCGCGAACAAAAACATGCATCAAAGGCAACTCGTTTCAAACCTACCTTCCGTGCAAGAAATACGCCTTTAGCCATAGCGCTAATATTCTGGTGCTTAGCAGTTTGCCCGCCCTGGTGGTTTGTAGTTTTTTTATCCGCCAAGAAGTTCTTTCACTGTGGCGAAGTGAAATTACTGTCCCGAAGGTCACCCAGAAGATGGGAAGGTCAACCTTCTGAGGGACGTTCTCGGGACAAGATCTGCAAAAATTATGAGCTTCTTCAACCAGCCGCGGGTGAGCTTCTATCTTTACCCAGCCGCGGGTGAGCTTCTTCACCCAGCCGCGAGTGAGCTTCTATCTTCACTCAGCCGCGGGTGAGCTTCTTCACCCAGCCGCGGGTGAGCTTTTATCTTCACCCAGCCGCGGTGAGTCGTACCGCTGGGCGGTAGATAAGCCTCACCCGAGAAGCGGCGCAGGTAGGTGAATTGGCTGTCAGCACCTCGCTTGAGTTTTGGCGCGTTTAGTAGCGTCACGCTGTTTGAACATGTCGGGGGAGATGACGTTTAGAACAATTTTCAATTGTGATACCAAGTCCAACAGCGTCATTCCTCCGAAGGCTCTGACGCGCGAGGGATGCGTTGCATCCTGGAGGAACTGCTGTGCCTCGGGGCTGCGCTTCCAAGTGCGCAGCTCTTCCAGCCGGCCAGAATAGTGTGGGTCCTGGGGTGCACCAGCCTGTGCGGCTTCCGAATTCGCAAAAGCTTCGTGAAAGACGACGACGCATTGGGAAGTGTCGCTGTGCTGCGGGCCTCTGCCTCCTTTGTCAAAAGAAGTCCAGTGACGTATGCAACTATCAGTCACAAAAATATCGTAGTAGAGGCATCCAAACTCCACACGTTGGCATCGAAAAGTAAGCGGGCCTCCAAGGTTCCACACTAAGTGCTTGATCTTGTCGGGATACTCATTCCGCTTGGCTGGAGGGAGCTCACTGGGAGGCTTGAATGCAAAGAAGGCTGTTGCGCCAATCGTTGTGCCCCGTTCCCGGATTCGCAGCGTTTCTTGCCGTAAAGGATGAGCGAATGGGGCCGTCGAGAACTGCTGCCCCTTCTGATCCGTAACATACATGCTCCGCAGCCGCGCGTTCTGCGACCACGAGTCGCTAAGCTCAGCTTGGAATAAAGAAATTCCCACTCCCTCGAATTCGGTGCGCATCTGCCCCAGCTGGGTCATCATCTGCTGACGCCACTCGGGCTCAAGCTCAAGTCTCTCGCGGCTCCGCCTGATGGACGTGAAACGCACATGCAGCAGCGTGAAAAATGGGGCGGCATCGTTCGGTTGCCAACGTGGTAGGAAGTAGACTTCGAAGCGAACGCAACCATTGCGCAGGTCCGCGTCACTGCCCGGCTCCGCGTTGTTCGCGTCGCACAGTCTTTGAAGGTTTTGCAGATGCGTTTTGCGGGCGTGATCGATGGCGCGCAGGGCATCGACGGAAGGTGGACCTGCGGCAGTTGTGCTGAAAACGTACACCTGGCTGACCGTCTTGGTTATCTGTTCGTCGTGAATCTTTTTGTAGGGCTGCACGCTCTTAAAGTCGCTGAGATCGTACTCCCTCTTGTTTCGGCTCGCTCCCGCCTTCAAGTTGATTTCGCGCTCCCAGGCTTGCATAAACACCCAGTCGCGGTAGGCTGTTCCGGCTAGATGCAACTCGGAGCCCGGAATTCCGCCGTTGCTAGGCAGTATCACGCCGGTCGGATCAAGTTCGGGTTTTCCGCCTGGGAGCTGGGAACACGAGAAGTAAAGCATCTGCATTACTGCAGGATGGTTCTTCTGGGTGATGGCAAGACCAAAGGGGCTAATGTGGTCAGTAGAAGACTGGACTGGCAGGGGCAGCACTTGGCCGCTGAGCAGGCCCACTTTCGTGTACTGCGACAACGTGCGCGGCACCCAGCACCCCACGTGAAGAAGGAGGTTGGGACACAAGTCCAGCAGCCCTCCGATGGACGGGGAAGGCCAGAACCCGGGCACACGTGGAGGCTGGAAAACGGGCCCAGGAGCGCCAGACGACGGCCTCCCGAAGAGCTGCGTCCAAAATTCCACGATTACGTCGGCGGAACAGGCGCATTCTCCGTGACCGTTCCGTGACACTGCAACCGCCCAGTTCCTGAGGTTGGCAATGTCGATGCTGGTAGCAGCCTCGAGAAACGAGCCCGCCACCGCCGACGTGAGGTCGGCGCGTTCGCCGCTGATTGTCATTTGCATTTGTCCCGCAGCCAGCGGGGCGGTCCCGGTCGCGTTTTCGCTGAGCTCGACGTCAGGCGGCACCTCCAGCATGGCTGTGGAAGCGTCAGGATTGAAGTCGTCAAAGTTGAAATAGTTTCTCATGCATAAAATGCTGCCCACAGAGTGCCTGTCCTGCAGAGTAGGCAAGTGAGGCAGATTGCGAGCCTGTTGAGGGGTAGAAACTGAGCTGCTACAGTAGCATGACAACAGGCGTCTTCCTTACCTAAACAACGTGACAAACTGGATTTCGGCTCTACCCAACTTTATCATGCGCCAGTTGGAGACTGGGCCCCAACTTTTAGTTTTATCCATTTATATGCAGTACAAATTATTTCAAGTTTGTCGATTTCAATCATGACACATCCATAATGGCCGAGGTGCTGTTCGACTCCGGATCAAAGTTTGTCCACGCTTCCAGGCCGCGTGGTGCGCCAAGATCGACGGCAGCAAGTTGCATACCAGTTTCCACAAAGGATCCCGACACCGGAGCCGCCAGGTCGTCACTTTCAGCGCTAATGGTCATTTCCATTTGCTGCCCAGGCGCCGTTGTGTCGTTCGCAGGCTGCAGCGTCCTCGCGGGCAGGACTTCCAGCATGGTATGGGAGTGTCAGAATCGAAATTAGCAAAATCGAAAAATTTGTGATGCATAAAATCGATACCAATTGGAGCCTCAGTTTGTAAGTGGCGCATGACAAATTTCGGGAGCACTCAAATCCAGTCTGTCATGCTGTTTGGGCGAAGAAGACTTCTGCTCCTGTTATGCTACTCTGGCAGCACATTGCATACCCCTACACAGGCTTGCAATCGGTCTCATTTGCCTGCTCCCCAATACAGGCCTTCAGTGCCCTACATTTTATGCATCGCAAATTTTTCGATTTTGTCGATTTCGATCCTGACACATCCATACATGGCCGCGGCGGCGTTCAAATCCGGCTCCAGATCGTCGCCGGGGGCGGGCTATCAAATGTAAAAGTGTCTGGGTCTGGAAGATTGCAACTTGTCATGCTGTTCTTGGATCCTAAAAAAATCTGTATTGCTTCACTAGCAAGAGGAGCCCAGTTTCTGCTACACGGAAAGGGCATTTCTCATGCGGATTAGGCATAAGTAAGCCCCCTAAAAATCTGCGATGCTAGGTCATGCATCACAGGCGCCATGGGTCATACAAAACATGCATGACAAACCTGGGAATCTTCCAGACCCAGACATATTTGCATTCCATACGGGCCCCCCTTCGGCAAATTCTTGGTCGCCATCCACCGGGAGTTCTTGCAGCTCCCCCGGCACTATCAACCGCAAATATGTCTGGGTCCACCTCTGGAAGAACGCAACACTTGTCATGCAGGTTCTCCATGACCCATGACTGAGGTCACGTCAGGAATGCTCGACCCACCATGACAGATTCTATGCGGTCGCTGTCATGCCTATCCTGCGTGAGAAACTCCCTCCCAATACGGTCGAAAGTGGACAGCTTTTGGCACTCATGCGCCACAGATTTTTGCATGATTCAGATTTACCATGACAAGTTCTTGCCACCTTCCAGACATCCAGACATATTTGCACTGGATAGGCACTTCCAGCATGCCCGCGGCCATCGTGTCCGGCTCCAGAGCAGGTTCCCATGCAGCTTCGTGGTCCACCTGTTCGTCGTTATGGAAGCGGCAGGTTTGAAATCGACAAAGTTGAAACGATTTGTCATGCAGAAAATGGATGCCAGTTGGAAGCTCAATTTCTAAGCGGCGCATGACAAATTTGAGTAGAACCAAAATCCAGTTTGTCATGCTGTTTGGGTGAGGAAGACGCCTTTTGTGATGCTACTTTAGCAGCTCTATTTCTTCTCCTCAACAGGCTCACAACCTGCCTCCCTTGCCTACTCTGCAAGACAGGCATTATATTTGTGGGTTGCGTTTTATGCATCACAAACTATTTCAAGCTTGACGATTTCAGTCCTGACGCTTCCATACTCGTCCTTGCCAGCGTCGTCGACTGCCTCCGGATCGAGATGCTCCTGGATTTGTGAAAGAATTTGTACGTGAATTTTGCATGACAAGCAGCGGAGGTGACTGCCGGGACATTGTCCCTCTCGCCCTTCTGGGAAGTGGGTTCTGCACATCGCAAAAGTCGCAGGCGATCACGCGGCGGGCAGCTAGACATGGCCTGGGCGTCGTTCTTTGGCCATGTTTTTTCGTATCCCTGTGCTCGCATAAGAGCACTGCAGCAGCCGCGGCGAAGAAGCCAAAAATCAGAGCCGCGAAACACATACAGTATCGGCAAGATGAAGGCGCGCAAGGATGAAAGGACCAGGCCAAGAGCTTTGACGTGCCTGCTCGGCAGGCGCGTGAGTTCATTCTCCAGGCCTTTTCGGCAGAATGTAAGCGGGCCTAGGACAACAATGGGCGTCGCTCTTCTCCCCTCGGGCCAACTTCGCAGGGCATTCTATCTGTGCACTTTCTTGAGCAGCACTTATCTGTGCTGCAGTTTGCTTACCAGGTTAGCACTTGCAGCAGCTGTCGGCTATTTTTGCTCAAAAAAGGTGGCTTCTTTTCACTCTCGCCGGGATCAACGGCGAAGGGCAAGAGGTGGGCTAGCTCTGGCCCCAGTCTGCCCTAGAGTCAAAGAGAGCTATTGCAGATGTAGCTGCGAACGCAGCATGTTGATCATCATGGTGCATTGCAGGAAGGAAATAAGAACACACTGCTGCAAAGCCTGCAAGAGGCACAGCTCACTCCAGCCGCCACCGCTCCCCGCCTTCACCATGCTGATCAAGCTATACCTATAGCCTAGCTCTCTCTCTCAGCAATAGCATTATAAATCTAGCTATAGTTGTATACTCGTCGTCCGTCGACTGCCTCGTCCGGATCGAGATGTTCCTGGATCATCCCAGTGCCATCGTTGCTCACCGCCGTTGCCTATGCGTTGCAAACATGTCTCGGTCGTCTGGAAGGTTGGAACTTGTGATGCCAACTTTGGAATCATCTATAAAAAATCTGTATTGCGTGACCAGCAAAAGAGGAGTCCAGTTTGTGCTACGCGGGGAGGGCATTTGTCACGCGGAATAGGCATCAGGAAGTGTCTTTAAAAATTATCTGCGATGCTAGGTCATGCATCACAGGCAACATCATGGGTCATGCAAAATATGCATGACAAATCTCGGAATCTCCCAGCCCCAGACATATTTGCAGTTGATATTGCCGTCGTGTGCGTGTCGTAGGGGGCCATGAACCCCGTGTGCTTCATATCAAATGTAAAAATGTCTGAGTCTGGAAACTTGTGGTGCTGGGTGGCATATCATGAGGAAGCCACAAGTGCTGGCTCAGCATGAGAAGTTTCTGAGCTTCTAGGTGTTGCCTATTCTGCATGACAAACTGCGTTTCTGCATCACAGAAAAGTGGCGCTCTTGGGTGACGTGCATGACAGATTTGAGAGTCATGCTAGACACGCATGACAAACATGGACTCTTCCAGACCCAGACATTTTTACATTTGATACTTCAGCTTCTTGGCGCCGTTGGCGAGCAGAGTCGATCGTAAGGAAAAATCCCATCCCCTCCCCATACTGAAGAGAGACAATACTGTGATGCTGATTTGCGGACACAAGTCGTCTCTGTATTGCAAGAAGGCAAAACCAGAGACCCCGCCGCGTGCCTTTGCGGGCCGCAATTTGTAATGCTGTATGGCACCACGCAGAGGATAAGTCTCCCTTGCTCTAGGCGCCTACGCCAAAAAGATCAAACTCCGGCTTTGCATCTGCGTGCAGTCCTCTAGGTACTGCAAGACAAAGCAGATTTCATTTGTGAACACAAATCCTGCATCACAGATCTGCAATTTGATATGGGGAGGGAGAATTTTTCCTTTGCATAGAGTCGGCGCGAAAACGGCTGCCGCGGGCAACACCGCCCGCCAGGAAAAACAGGAGTATCAACTGGAAAAATGTCTGGGTCTGGAAGATTCCGACACTTGTCATGCACGCTGTGCATGAGCCGTGATGACTGTGATGCATACCCTAGCGATACTGATTTTTTAAGGGCTTCTTGATGCCTGTTCCGCATGACAAATGCCTTCTCAGCGTAGAAAAAACTACATTGTTCCCTTTGCTACATATGCAATAGAGATTTTTTTGAAATCCAATTGCAGCATCACAAGTTGCACTCTTCCAGACCCAGAGATTTTTGCACTTGGTAAGGGGGGTCCGGGTCCACCGGGCGGCCGCATGGCTTTGCGCTCCTGCATTCTCGGTTGGAAAACCTCTCCGACCCGCAACGAGAAGCAAGTAGAAGGCGTTTCAAAAATTCCTCTTCGCGCCCGGTTCTTCGACGGGAAGGCTGAGTTTTGGCGTGCGGGCGGCTTTGATATCCCCCGGAGAGTGATAAGTACCAGAACTCGTTCCCGTGGTTCCTGCAGTGACGACCGAGGAGATAGGCTTGTTATCTATCCCCCCTCGAAGTCGTGGTCGTGCAGTCGCAGCGAGTGTTCGTATCGGCGTCTTCGTGGTTCTAGTCGAATAGAGCAAGAACTCTAGTACCCGGCGACGCGGTACTTGTTGTAGTTGAAAACTTTTTTGATGAAAAAGAACGAAAAAGCAAAGTTTCTTGAGTGTTCGACGTTTGGAGATAAGTGTAAAGTTTGAGCTGTAGTAGGCAAGTTGTACCTTTTCAACAGCGACGTTTTTTTTTCTTAACAGTTGGGATAGTGGTTTATTTTGAAAAAAGCGATTTATTTGCAACCCTAATTTAATCGAACAGAAGGAAAAAGCACGCCTCTACTTTATCAACGAAACAAACTGTACTCAACACCGAAGGTGACCGGGGAAGGTCGGTGTGCTACAGGGTCTATCAAAGTGAAAAAAAAACCCTACCAAGTACAAAAAACGGAATAATTTGTGTTGCTGGAATGAGTATCTGTACACAAATTTTCAGCGCTGTAATGTAATACTGCAGCAAGCGCTTGCCGGCGTTATTTCCTTGGATAGTCTGAGGACTGGATACTTTTATACAAAAGGCTAGCAGTCAGGCACGTCAGACAGCTTTGCAGCAGGTGTCACAAGCGCGCGACAGGTTGGCTGTGGAATGCGCAAAACGGCCCCCACTTGCCTCGTATGCAAGAAAAGGTTGATTTGTGGTCAGGAATCAGCATCACAAATTATCCATTGTGTGTACTATGGGGAGGGGCGATCTTTCCTCACAATATGGTGTGTCGCTTCTTCTAGATCGATGCTCGCTTCTTCACTGTGGGGTGAAGGGGTGGAAGATAAAATGAATTATTTTCTTTAGCGTAAGTCCTTTTACTCTTACTTATCAATGCGTGTTCCAACAAGAACATGACAGTAGTGATATTACGTGTTGACAGTTTACTTACTTAGTGCTATAACCAACGGTCTCCGAACGCGACAAAAATCTTGCACGTGAAACCGACCAACGGCCCGAGCCGCGATCTCTTGCACGAGTGAAGTTGTACGTGAAGTTGTAGCAAGACCGAAACGAAAGTCACGATGCAGAAAAACAAAAACGATTTCTTGCACGACGAGGAAGGACCGACGAGCAGTGCTGGTGGCACTGAAAACTTTAATGACCGAGCGTTATCCTGAGTAAAAACGTCCCCACACCTGAGTCAAGATGGGGATTTTGCAACACAAACCTTGAAGTTTTGGGAGCCACGCATGACAAATTGCAGGCTGTATTGAAGGATCTAGTTTCGAAATGGAGAGGTTAATTTTTCCAGACGTAACAGTACCGAAGTCACAATCGAACACCATCTAAAACCACATCAAATTCCCCAAATTCGCATTACAGATTCTCTATCCCAAGTCTAGTTCTTCCATTGTCTTATGCTAAATTCGTATTCCTAAAACGCCCGCAGCCGTGGCTCCGCTCCCTTGAAGTTGTAAGAAACCAAGTTTGTAATGCGGATTCAGCGTAAATCAGACCTAATTTCTTTCCTTTTCTCTTCTTCTCTTTCCTCTTTCCTTTGTCTTTCGATCGTAGCAAGAATTTGCTTGCTTTTCGTTGTATTTTGGTCCTTTTCCTTGCTCGATCGGTTTCTTGGCTTTTTCCTTATCCTCCTGTTCATTTTCTATATTTTGATCTATGAGAAATAGCGTTTCAAACACACTGCCACTGAGAAGTAAATACACAAACCGCCCCCAACGCTTTTTCTCATAATCAAAATCGAAGCTGTAAATCCTCAAGAAGCTCGAAACAGAAACTGATGGCCGAAATCCTACAAGAAGTTCTAAATCGCAAGCACAAATTTGTGTAGCATAAATCCATAAACAGCTTCCTCAATAACTTCCTCTTCCAGTCCTCATCGCCACATCCTCTTATCCAATTCCAGCATCGGTTTCTTCTCGTCGCAGCATCGGTCTCTCATCGCAGTCGCCAATCCAAATTCAGCGCGGTGTCGTGGTTATCAGGAAATCCTCCTCGCACTAGAAGGACAGGCTGCCCCCTAACGCCATACGAAGTTCTCCGTCGTCTACCCGAAAATCCGCTGCCGAGTCGAAGCGCTTCTGCTGTTCTTCAGATTGAAATTATTCTGCGCCCCCATACTGTTCTGTGCTGTTCTTTCCTTCGGTTCCGTCTACCTGCTTGTCCGTGTTCCTCTTCCTGGTCTGCCGTGTCCGTGTTGTTGTCTTGTTTTCTTCGCCCCGGTTTCTGCTGTTCCTGCTGTTGCCGTTTATGTGTCTGCGCTCGTGCTGTAATACTGTCCTGGGTTTGTCTTTCTGCTGTCCTGGTGTTTTCGCGCCTCTGCCTGAGTGTACTCGTCAAAGTCTACTACTGCCTAAAAGCCCGAAACCCGAAACCAAGCTATCATCACCATCGTCATTAAGTCTTGGCACTTCTACCCCGAACACAAGCGGAGGTTAGTCCTCAACAGCTGGTCACCCGCGCAGCCCCACAGCACTAAACCTCGAAACTGCGAACACTAATTTCGAACCCCGAGCCTAGTCGTACTTCTATCTTGAATCCCGATAGGTCAGCCACTTTTACTGGAAGTCAAAAACGGAGCCTGTACTGCCTCAGCACGTTGAATCAGATCGAGAACACCACCCGGAAGAAGTTGCAGGCACAGACAAAGTCGCAATACGACTACGCGCCCCCTGACTGAAACTTCTTCTACAGCTCCATCTTCATCTCTGCATCTTGAACCGCGAACAAAAAACCTTCATCGTCTGCTAATGCCCTCTAAAATTTCGCCCGCAAAAGCAACGCCGTATCCCCATCCCGCTTTCTAAGTAGTGAACTGACGGGCAGGCTCCATCTGTTTGGCTGAATCGCCCCCGTTTCGTTAGTGGGCAAAGCAAAGTAGCAAGCAACTCACCAAAACCTTCTGTCGCTGTGCTCTGTCATTTCGCTATTGCTGGAAGCCTTCGCGCCCACATATCTGCATCCGATTCTACTGCCGTTAAACAAATCGAACATCTTCACTGCCATCCATCGCCTAGCCGGAAGTTCCACCGCGTCCGTAAATAAAACCGTAAATCGCATCCCGTAGTAAAAATAAAAACCCGAATCCGTAAACAAATCTTGGAACGTACCCCAGCCGCGACGTTTTTCCGAATTAGTTCCCGCGAACTTTATAGCGCGACTGAGGTCTCGTTAAACAAATCCCATATAGAAAATCTTTCCCGCGTAATGCTAAAAATAACGAATGCGGTCCCCGGCTCTGGGACTGGTCTTGTCGATTCCCGTTTTATCCTTGTGCAGCAGCGTCGTCTGATCCGAAATAGCAGGCGTTGTTCCGTTCCTTCATTCTTCTTTCCTTCAAATTCCGAATGCGTTTTCCACATGCGTGCATGCGCAGGGGTCTTGGTTTGTTGCAGCTGTCATCCTTCTTGCCGTCTTCCTTTGCGTGTTCTTCTTTCTCCTTCCTGCTCTTCACGACCATAGTGGTGGGAATCTAACTAAAACGGTAAGGAATGCTTTTGCTTCTGAGTCGAACTATGCCCAGGCTCTCCACCAATTGAAGGATCTAGTTTCGAAATGGAGAGGTTAATTTTTCCAGACGTAACAGTACCGAAGTCACAATCGAACACCATCTAAAACCACATCAAATTCCCCAAATTCGCATTACAGATTCTCTATCCCAAGTCTAGTTTTTCCATTGTCTTATGCTAAATTCGTATTCCTAAAACGCCCGCAGCCGTGGCTCCGCTCCCTTGAAGTTGTAAGAAACCAAGTTTGTAATGCGGATTCAGCGTAAATCAGACCTAATTTCTTTCCTTTTCTCTTCTTCTCTTTCCTCTTTCCTTTGTCTTTCGATCGTAGCAAGAATTTGCTTGCTTTTCGTTGTATTTTGGTCCTTTTCCTTGCTCGATCGGTTTCTTGGCTTTTTCCTTATCCTCCTGTTCATTTTCTATATTTTGATCTATGAGAAATAGCGTTTCAAACACACTGCCACTGAGAAGTAAATACACA